CAAAATTAGTAGTTAAGTCAAGTTGTAAATAAAAATGTGATAGATGTATGACAGTATAGTATTTTTTTCTTGTCGTTCTTGGCGATTTTATTAATTTTGCATGTTAATTGGTAAAGGAAAATTAAGTTCTATTCATTGTCCCTGTACTAAAATTTAATAAATAATGTATTTCCTGTAAAATAATTGACGTAGAGGTTATTCAGTGTTAATTTGATTAACACGTTGACTGCGCGCGCCGACTTTACAGGCGCTCCCCAGTGCCGGGCGAAGCCCCGGCGCGCAACCGAATCAGCGAACGCAATTGGCATTCAAATATTTCAGTCTGACGAATCACAAAGAGCAGTGGTGACTGTGCTGCGTTACCCCGAGAGTGGATGTAGTTCACTGAAACACCCAAAGGTAGCAGCACTGCATGGATCCGTATCCAGTGTCTTTGTAATGTGGGTTGAAGAGAAAAAATCCCCGAAACCGGGACAAAAGCATTGCCAGACGGGATTTTACGGGAAATTTTAGTACCAACCTACACCAAAGTAAAGCTCGCATTCTAAGCTGGCAGGCTGGCAACGATTATAACGTCTCCGTCTGAGGCTAAGCTCACACTGACTCAATATATTACTGTTGGTCTGGTGCCGACTGTAGTCGGCGCGCGCCACCTGGGAGCGCTGGCGACGCCGACTAAAGTCGGCACGCGCAGTCAACGTGTTAAGAGTGAAAATGTTTAGTTTAGGAATATATACAATTCTAACTCATTTACTCTCACAAAAAAAAAATTTTTCATTGTGTTTTTGGAAGATTCAAAAACTTACCGATTACTAAATTGTCCTTCTTCCACGTGAATTTTGGCCTTGGAGCTGCTTCTGGGCTACAAATAATCGTCACATTACCACCTTCAGCTGCATAAGTTTCAGTTTCCAAAGGCCGCTTTTTGAATGATGGTTTGAGAGCTGGAAAAAATTTCAACCTTAAATAACAATCAAAATGGAATCACACAAGTGCTTAAAACAGCTGTATCTTTCAAAACAAAATTGGTGCTTTTACTCCACACATAAGCACAACCCAAGAAAAGCAACTGGTCTAGACTTATTAAGGTGCAGACTCTTAAAAGACTTTAAAAACCTTCCTATTGTGGTTATCAAACAGTTCAACATATTATTGCTCAACAGTGTCCAGTCCAGGAATACGCATCAACAAATTGTGTAACAGAGATTTTAATGGATTCCTTTACACAGCATGGACAAAGTCTTAGAAGAACCAGGGGTGGGAAGACACTCACTATCATAGTTTAAAGTCTTTCAACAAGTTTTGTTATATGTTGTTTTGATGTTGCCTATTCATCACTTTTCAAAATTTAATTTCAACAATTTCAAGTTACAAAGATACATGATTTTTCTGGGAGAAAAACTGTGCGTAACACTGTTTAGTCATTAGAGTGAACTTTTTGAGATGTGGTTAAATTCTGTGAACTTTTTGAGATGTGGTTAAATTCTGTTGAATAGCTAAGTTTCCTATATGGAAGTAGACACATAGTTAAGAAACCTAAGAAAGGTAAATGGAATTAGTCTTAGAGCTCTGGATACACATATACTATGCATTTTAAACATATAATAGGTAAAACAATGAGCAATTTCGGTTGCACTTTGTCAAAAATCTCATTAGATCAAAACTAAAAAAATCAGAGCTGAGAACAGAGTAAACATTTTAACCCCAAGAAACTGAGTAGTAATGTGATTGATTATACAAGTGACATTGCACAAAGTCAACCATATTCTTGTTAGCAAAATATAATATGTCTAGTAGCCGAATTTTTCAATCCAAATTCTTAAAATATGACCACTTAATGGTACTTTAAATAACATTAGACATGGTGGAAATAACAAGATATTCTAAATCTTATCTAAAATAAAAAAACATTTTTTAATTGAAGAGTATAGACCTAACTATAAGGCAGTAGTAGACATAGAGTTTGCCTTTTAAGGGATACTATGATAGTCACAGAAATACTTACACAAAACCCGAAGCTGTGCAGAAGAGTATCTAGTTTTGAGATCATTTTTGGCTCGGCACTGGTACATAGCCTGGTCTCGCTCAGGATCCAAGTACCGTATAGTAAGTACGTTGTCTTGTATTACATAACGATCACGATCCTCTGTTGGAAGTTTCTCCACCTCCAGAAGTTCACCATCTCGTAGCCAGCCGTATGTCACATCTGGGATCCCAAAAGCCTCACAAGTCCAAGTTAGTTCTCCTTTGTTGTCCACGTGTTTGTCAGTAAGAGGTATTGTAAAGTTAGGTTCCGCTGTAAAAGTATTAAAAAATCGACTTTAAAATCACACAAACTTCCTTATGTTGCAATTTTTATCAAGGTTGATGCTATAAAAAGTTGTATCCAACTCGAAGGTTCAAAGGAGTTTAAGTACTATTGTTGTCGAGAATCTTTAGTTTTAGACTTGTAGCATTTTGTTTTTTTGTTACAGGGACTTTTGCACAATAATTAAAGTTTGGTTTGGTAGTTTTTTTTTGTTAGTGCATAATTTTGACTAATTGCTGTAGGCAGTCTTACATTTAACATAAACATAGTTGGACTGAGCCATTGTCATAATGTAGGCTACTGCTTTTTTACTAGCTAACCAAATAGAATAAAAAAATAATACATTACAAATAGGCTAAGGGTGTAACATAGAACACAAGGGCCTGAATTTTAAAGATTTTTTTAGGGATGGTAGGGGGTATTTTTGGGGGGGTTTTTAGGGGTGGTTTTTGGGTTGACGTTTTTGGAAAATAATTCACTTAAGCATGTGAAACACAAAACTTTACACTGTACACAACAATTAGAATATTTCACTGTCACTGATAACATTTGTAAAATATGAAGACCTAAATTCTCCTCATTGATTACCCCTCTCTCTTCAAAACCTAAACCTTAAAGAGTACTTGGAGTATACCGGCCATCTTGGATAATTTCAAACAACTGCTGAGTTATTTATCATTCACAAATATTTTTTAAGATATATAAGTGATTGTAATTCAAATATAGGGCGCAGTGGGATCAGAAATTTTCTTTCTAGTTTTTTAATTGTTTTACGAGTTACAATTTCCAGCCTCCAAAGACTCTTGTTTTGTCCTAGGACACTAGGCACGAGCCCAAGATTGCTGTTCACATTACTTCAGGCAAGACCTAGGGGTTGCAACATTTTCACTTAAATGAAATCCATTAGTGATTTGGCGGGATTTGAACCCGGGACCTCAAGTACTGAAAGTCTAATGCTCTTAACCACTAGGCCAGCTCGCTCCCCCTAGAAGGACTTTTAAAATGGTGTCAGTGACAGTAAAGTATTTTAGTTCTTGTGTAAAAAAGTAAAGTTTATGATTCTTATGACAGAGTGAACTTTTTCTATTAAGGTAAGTCTTCTATCTTTAAAACAATTCAAAATTTAAAATAGATTTACCTTGAATGGATAGGACGACAGCATTCTCGATGCTTGCTCGGTCATTTGTAGCTCGGCAGATATATTCGCCCTGGTCTTCCACTTGAACACTTGGTATCAGCAGGACTCGATTGTAGGATGTTAGAACCGCCTGGCGAGGCAAAGCGGCACCTCTACGAGTCCAATTATAGGACGGGACCGGACTGTCAAATATCAACATAGGTTACACCAATGTTTATTTACAGCTAAAATATATTACAACTAAAATATTAAGTTTTCTTCCTACATGGAAAACGTTCTACAGCAACCAAAGATGCTAAAACACTAATTTTTTTACACAGACTTGTCTTTGTTCTGTTGGACTTGAAAGCATCTTCTGGGCTAAGCGTTTTCCATAGGACATTAAAATATAACATGGTGGGTAGTTTTTTTTTACAGATTATGGATTAGGACTAGATTAAGATTGATAAGGCACCCCTTATTGACCTCCCTTATTATAATTGGATAGTCTTTTGAAATGGTCGGTAGCTGTTAATGAAGGCCTATGTGTTATAGTAGTATTTGGCTGAGTCAAGATGTAAATAGTACTCCTTAGTTCAAAGGGTTTCAAGCAAGTATTATTGAAGCATCATCTTTTGTTCAGGTTGCAAGAAAAAAAATTGGTAAGTTGTTGGTAGTGCAATAAATGTAAAATCATGGTAGCAAAGTTATGGATTCTTGTCCCTATTCTTCCACTATAGTCTGTTTGCTCAGGGAGTGCGCCTGGCCGAAGGGTCGACCCTACTCATACACACCCAGGCCTCACACACACAGACACGATGGATTAGGACAGACCATTGAACTGCCGAGTGAGTCATCACTGCCCCACAGATATTTGACTAAATATTTTTATATTTTTACTTTGTTATAAAATCAATTGATACTTTTGACTTCATCTCAAAATGATGAAATGAGTAAAACGATACAAAACAAAATTTATTTTGATAAACTAATCTAAAAGTTACAAATATAGTTCATCCCAAATTTGTAATGTATTTCTTGGTCATAATGGTTTTGTGTTTGGGCAAATTTTCATGGAATTAAACAACATGATATTAATTGCAATTCTGAGACATCATACAATAGGTGTTTATATTTCTAGGTAGCGAAGAGGACCGGGGCTTTCAGGTAATTAGGACGGCGGTGAGTGTGGCAGGGTTGCCACCAAAGTGAGATAAAAAAATTCATGCATAATTCACGCACTTTTTCATGGTCACCTAAATTCACGCATAATTCACGCTTTTCAAGGTTTTCATGGCTGGTGGCAACCCTGAATGTATTTCTTGGTCATAATGGTTTTGTGTTTGGGCAAATTTTCATGGAATTAAACAACATGATATTAATTGCAATTCTGAGACATCATACAATAGGTGTTTATATTTCTAGGTAGCGAAGAGGATCGGGGCTTTCAGGTAATTAGGACGGTGGTGAGTGTGCGTGCTTGAGTCGGGTACCTCGCAGGTAGGGCCGAGCTCCTACCCAGTCACTTTATCCTACTTTAGAGAGTTTGTTATACTCACTGAGCAAACATAGTAATCGTTCTTTCTGCTCACCCAAAATTTTACTTTAATATCAGATAAGAAATGTCTAACTTCCTTATTTATGAACAATGATCTTTCTCTTCATCCTCGTCAGTTAAATAAACAATAATGCTTGGAAATTATTTAATAAAAACACTCTGGATCCAAAAAAAACACTTAAAACTATCCCTAGGATATAGTTAAATAGTCTGTAATACAAAGTCTTGGGTTATGTTACCAAAAAAAAGTATCCAAACCTCAGCATTGTGATTTGGCCCAAAGGTGAACTCCAAAACTTTGTGCTAAACAGAAGAACGAATAATTTGGCCTACTGTATAGCGATAGAATCTTAACAATCGTAGCAGCCTAGTAGTAATTAAAAAACATTCATGATGACGAGCTTTAGTTGAGGATACTAGGCTATTATTTATTCATTGATCTACTAGCTACCTATTGACTTAACAATTTGTTTTTGACTCTGATGTAGGCCTAATTTAAATAATATGTTAAAAAGCATTTCACAGGTACTGATATTCTTAAGACAGCTAGTGTCGCTGAAACTGCCATTAAAAATACTCCGTACTGCACGGTGAACATGGAATGGAGTCCGACAAAGAAGGTTTATACTTACTATCCAAACGCCACACACTCGAGTCGAACTTCTTTCCCGGCAACTGGGGCTTCAGGGAAAGCTTTCGGGAAATTATTTGGGAATTTCAATTGCTGATGATTGGCTGTAAATAAAAACATGCATGTTACTGGAGAAAACATAAAAAAGTAGTCAATAATTTAGGTATTAATGAGAATAACATGTTTGAAGTACAGTATCATTAGTAGCTTCATGGTAAGATTTTAAAACTTACATCACAAAATTGTAATATGAATATAGGCCTATATCACTTTCCATTATTAACTTTAATTTGTAAATATTTACTTAGTAACCCGTAAAATATGCAAAAAACACAAAATACAAACAGCTGTAGGCCTACCATGTAAATACATTTGTTTACTGTTTAGCATTATTACTTAACAATTCATGATATTTTTCAATCAACAAAAAACTACAAGCTTAGCTTCAGTGTGTAAAAAAAAACACAATTGCAAAATAGTTAGCATAATTTAACTATTTATTGGGTATTACACTTATAACTGACCAAAAATGGCTACTTACAATGGGGATTGACGTAGAGGGGGAAGAAAGGTCCGTTACGACCCGTGTCAGACACTCTGCTCTGCACGTTACAGCTGTAGTTTCCTCGGTCAATATTCTCCAGTGCAGAAAAGTATAGCGCTCCATCAAAAGATACAAAAACTCGCTTATCTTCCTCTACAAAATTGGGAAAATAGTCCCTGGCCCAGTAGTACTTTACACCTGTGAGGAAAATAATGTTGGTAAAATAAATTCCTTGTAGTGCCCAACTGAAGAAAAATGCTTATTGTAGTAGCGAAAAACCCAACCTTGATGAGCCTGTTTTGTTTCTTAGCTGGTTATCTGGAGCTTAAGGTAGGTATCAAACAATTGACAGTAAACATTATTATATTTATAAAAGGCATTGATAATGACAACTTTGCCTCCGCAAAAAGTTACCCAAGATTTAAAGACAAGATACCACATCACATGCTTGTCCACAAAAATCTAAAACCAGATTCAAAATAGACACTACAGAAGTAACTGTACAGCACTCTTAAGTTATGATACCTGGTTCTGTAAAATCTGAAGTAGGCTCTTGAAGTTTTACTCACAGTAATGAACATACAATTGCATGAAGGGTTTTTATTATTTAGTTTAAATTAAATGGATATACCAGTCTACAGCTCTGACATAAAAAATGAGCACAATATTAACATAATTACCTGGAAAGTATTGGGGTGGATCACAATACACCGTTTTTCCCCAGTTTTCGTCTCCTCTTTCTGGTGATCTTTTCAAGTTGAATTCACCAATAAAACCAAACGTGAGTTTAACACTTTCTGATATTATACTTCCATAGTCGTTTGTGGCTTTGCAATGATACAGTCCTCTGTCTTCAACCTGCGACATAAATGTTCATTGTAAAATTGCAAAACACTTCTCTGAAAATCTCTAAATGTAAGGATTTATGTCTCCATAGTGGGGATGGCCCTAGTTATCTACCCCACTTCCAAGGGTGATGGAAGAGAGCTGCTGAAAATGTGTTCCGAGTACTCAGTTGTCCTTCAGTTATCAATCCAATATCTTAAAATAGTCGATCCAGGCAGAATTCTGCACACACCAATAAGCGTAGATTCTGTCTTGCATGAGGTTGTGGTGTTTACAAAATACTCTAAACGATCTTTGTTATTTTACTTGAAAAACTATTACATTTTATAAATTGATTTCCATTTTTTTATTTGCGTGCAATTTTCCAAATTCAAATTAAGTAAGATAGCAACGCATGTTCAAGATTTCTCGATGATCACTCTCTGAGGGTTTTCTGAAATATCTGTTAGAACTATCGTTAATTATATTCTGAGCCAATAATCTTGAGACGTTTATTAATTTACAAAACTCGTTCATGAACCCTGGGCTATCTCGTAGTAAGCTGGGTCACCTGAACAAAACTAAGATGTTAACTTACTATTTTGGTGAGACAAAAACCATTATGTAGGAACATTTTTAAGAGGGCAATTTAATATTTAATTTTGTGTACTCCCTGATATTATGTCACAACCCTTTAAGAAGGAAATTCTCAAATTTAATACCGGCACTTCTTAATACCTTTAACAATGCCAGAAATCTAGCCGCTCGCACACCTCTATATAAATCACATTATCTACAGTAAAAGTAGTTTAAACTAAAAACTGTAACTTATTTACCTTTTTAGGATCATGAATAATGAGAGTGCCTCCACTGATAGTGAACCGAGTGTCTTTCAAGGGATCAATCTTGACAGGTATCAACACGTCACCTTGGTAATCTTCTTTAAACCATTCATAGGTAGGGGCTGGGTACCCTCCAGCAAGGCAGCTAAAAATAAAAAATAGTTTAATAGAACATTCCATAAATTCATTTTATAGTCCTGGGACTCCTCGTCCTTTCTGACAGAAAATGTCCTTACATAAAAAATGCTGACTAGTTTTGTTCTGAGCGTAACTATTGTAAAAGCTTACGACAAGTCAAGAGAATATAGTACTATACAAATCATTACGTACATAACACATGACACAAAATCATTTAGCAACACAAAATGAATAAAGATATTATCAGGAGTCATTGGGTCTTAGCAACAGCAGTAGACTGGGCCTTGAAGTTCAGGACTAGGAGATTCAAGTCACATCATTTTTGTTGTTTATGTGATATATTTGATGTTTTAAAGTGTTGCAATATTTTTACAGTTTCACTTGCAACAAAAAAGCACATTTACTTGAAATTGGACTAAAGAAATTTAAGCCATTTAAGAAATTTAAGAAATTTAAAAAGAAAATTAAGCCTAATATCCACAGATATAAAAATACCAAACGACATTGAACATTTTTTAGTAGGGCTACATTGAGTGAGACGTTTGATGTACCTGAGTGAAACATCGTTGGTGATTTTCCTCTTGGAAAGGTCAAAGACAACATCAATGGGTTGATTGATGAAGTATGGACCCATGGGTATCTTGAGGGGGTCCTGCACATCTATGCCGTACTGGTATGTTCTGTCGTCTGCTACTATGTAATGAAGCTTGGTAAGAGGAGCTTCACAGATGTAAAGTAGAAGTTCCTCCCCGGTTACTTTCTCCAGGCCCCATTTCTTCAGGTTGTTTGAGAAGCTGAAATTAAAATAACGTTAACAAACTCACTTTTGTATTGTTTTACGCTCTAATTAGTTTTATCAATTATTTAGAAAAAGCTATACTACTTTAATTGAATTTTCAATACTTTAAGTAGGAAACAGGCTTACCAACAGGTTTATTTTCACAAGACAAATTCAATAAATCTTGGAAGAAGTTTAAAATTTGTTGTTAAAAATGATCTGGGAACTTTGCTACTCAAAAGGTAAAATTTATTCAAATCAAGTCTGTAGTCCCAAATTATTTTAATTTGGTTTAGTATGAATTATATAATAATAGGAGGGTTAAGACAATTAAAACAATATGACCGACAATTTTATAGGAAAAATCTATTTTATGTAATACTATCATCATAGTTTAATATTATTTACATGGGTCCTTCATTGAGTCAAATCCTTCTGATGAGTGAAGGCATGCAAGTTTTGCCTTACCTGTAGACCATGTAGTCTTTAGAAGGTCCCGACTGATCAGCTGGCTCGGGTAGGAAGGCTGACTCCATATCTGGCAATGGCGTTCCATCCTCGTTGACCCAGTAGCCTGGACTCTGCTGATGAGGGCTGATGTACCATCTACGATGCTGCGGGTCTTGCCACAACAGGTTGTACAGCAGAAACCCGTGTTCTTCTACAGAGTTGATACTGACAAGATCCGACTCATACGCCTGAAAACAATAAGCATCATCAGGGATTCTGCTTTTTTGTTTACAGCACATTTTCTACAACACATGTGAAAAACTAGGGAAATATTTACATTACTTTATGCAGCCTACTTTGTACCAAATACTTTTGGTATACCTACAGGGTTCCTACGAAAATATTATTAGTAAATTCCCTGGCCACGGCACATTTTAGGTACCGTGATTTTTTATAGTATTTAGGTACCGTAGGTTTTATCTTGAGTGAAAAAACAACTTTTTATTATTTAATACGGCCTTCACTATCCCCATAGCCGCCCTTACGCCTCTTTTTTACTTATACAATACCAAATAAGAAATATAATTCTAAATATGCACAACTATAAGTCACATAAAAATGGGTGATAAAAATTATATAAGCCACAGTTATCAGAACTTTAGTAATCTCTGAAGTAACTATCTCATCTATGTCTAAAATAAAAGTCAATATTTTGGCGAATTATTTAAGACTATAAAGAGTTTTGGGAGTTATTTAGAATTGGGTATATACGTCTTTAACTAAAGACAAATTTCAATATAAATACATTTTAATGTTAAATTATGGTCCATGAATCATTTTAAAATTGTCAGATTTTGTTTAATGATCGATAAAATCAAAGCCAAACATTTACTGAGTAATTTGAGACCAGAAATAACTTTGTGACGTATTAACAACCCGAGTTATAAATCTTTTAATAAAAATATATTTCTAAAAAGTTAAATTTAATATTGTTCTGAGGTTTGTAGCTGGTCTTTAACTCGTCTGATTTTAATGATCAAGAGTTCAAACGAAAGCCCTTACATTACTGAATATTTTAAGCCTAGAACGAACTACGACCGTCAATAAGATCTGGAGATATAAGAAAAATAGTTTTTAAAAAATTATCAAACTACGAAACGTCCATAAGAAATGTATGGTGGAGAGTTTTCGTTTGAATATATCTTCTAAATGAATAAAGATATTTAAAAACGAATTTCGGCATTGAAATCAGCGTAAAAATGTAGTTGGTAATGATGTGTCACAACACTATCATTACATTGAAAAAAAATTACCTATGTCCAATATGGCGGATCCAAGATGGCGGCCAAAAACATGTTCCCTATCAAAATGAAGTACTAACCACCCAATAAATACAGGTGGTGGTCCCAAGTCAATATCTCGAAAAATGTGCATAACAAATGCATGTGAAATATGTTTTTTTAGTTTGTCCAATGTTGGAAAAAGCCGCCATTTTAAATTATGATTTTAGTGGTTTTCTCGTGCACCGATTTTTGGCAACTTATAGTATGTCATTCTGCAAACCCAACTCTACAAAATAAAACCATAAAACGTTTTCTTGCAATTTTTTTAAGGTCATATCCTATATTTCTCCGACTATATGGTAACCGCAGCACAGCTGATGGTCTATATTTAATTCCTTTTGTCTATGGTAGTATTTAAAAGATTCAAAACAAAAAATTATCGGTCATAAGTCTTGCATTTTGATGGCTTGCTACTTTTGGAACAATTATTGGAAATGTGTAACGAAATATATCATAGAGTATTAAAAAAAGGCCAATGCAAAAAACTGTCTGTTGTAAGTGAATAGGGGCCTATTTTAATTGTTAAAAAACCAACAAAAATGTAGGTACCGGAACCAACAAACCGACAAATGTGTGTTTGGGAAAATGTGTCATAAAATATAATCATACGGTGACAATAAGGTGTTTTTAAAAAAAATTATCCTCTAGGACCATACCAGTTTTTTTATACAGGATGAGAATTTTTGAAAAAATAAAATCCGTAATACAAAATGTTTTTCTAGATTATGCAACAATTCTCTCTATAGAAAATTGTGTGGATTATGGTTGATAGTTTTTGAAAAATCAAATCTGATTTACCTTAACTAACTCATTAATTTAAAACTGTTATGGAACAATTTCCCCTGAACTCTGTGTAGCCTACTTAACACACAATTGCGATTTTACTGCAAGAATGGAAATATATATTTGGTAAATTGCATGATATTATGTTGGTGTTGGTACATATGCACTTAAGGGTTTTAACAGGTTGTTTAATAAGTTGTTATTTATATTTACAACTAGAATCAGAGTACAACCACGGCAATCAAGTTATAAGTTATGAAATCATGCTTCTACCCCAGTGTAAAAATAGTTTGATAATTAAGTTAGATAGAGATTATTTGGAAGTGTTTACCATTGTTTTTCTATGACATCTATCTAAAAATGATAACCCACCCAAGGGACTTTAGTGTTGAAAGAACAAAGTTTTAATCAGCATTGCCCTAGTTTTTAAAAACCTTTCAATACCATTTCATTGGTATTTGATTTTTCTTAAACAACCCACTCTTTTGTAAATTCACAAAGACTAAAAGGCAATTATAATTTTTAAATGTTAAGTGTGAATACAAAAATTCCTAAAAACCTAAAATTGAAGAATTGTAAGCTATGTATAAAACTAAGTTACAAGTTAAAGTTTATCCCCCAACACTAAGAAACTCCTAATAATGTTTTTAAAGTTAGTAAAAGTACATAGCTAGACTCAGAGAACTTTAAAAAAACTAATAATCATTTTTGCTTCTAAAAAGTAATGAAAGAAAGTAGGCTACTTAAGGAAGAATATTATTGTGATGTGTAATGATAGTCTTTGCTAGTTGTAGGTCTAAATTTAAAATGTCCAGTTAATTTAAAACCTGTCGCCTATCTAAATATTTAATAGTACCAAATCTATCTCAGTTAGCCTATATTTAATACCCATGTAATTTTTAATACTATTTTGATGTTTCAGAAAAAGTAGGAAAATATTCAAGCATAATACAGTATCAGTTTTTAAAATTCAACATCATTCATACAAATAAAATAGGCCTAAAATTACGAATTTAGAATAGAAGGATCAAAATCTGACCTGGCAATTCCTTCTAGCGTCATTGCGTGTATGCAACGGAGACTTGATAAACCTATAACATGAGGATTGAAACTGGATCCAATACTGTGGACATCTCCAGGACGATTCCTCTTGAGCATTGGAAAGGCAGAAAAGTGAAACTAGCACCAATAATCGCCACATCACTGAAACAACCAATAGATGTTGAAATTTGAAAAAATCTTGTATATACTTAACAAATGTTTAGTAGATAAAACATTTTATTTATGGTACTAAACTAAGTGTTATTTATAATGACAGTGTGTTATTAGGCCTATATCGAGTAGAAGTAGGAACTTAACTTCAAAACAGTTACTGAAGCCACGAATCTGCATAAACCCGCCTTGATCTGCCCAGCATGCTTAAATAAGATCAGCGCTCAGTTTTTGTTTTGTTGCTCAGTTTTTGTTTCGGTACGGTATGGTAAACAGGCTACAATTATCCATTATAATCAAGAAAGGAAGAGTAATTTGTAGACAATTTAGAGCATTACTTAGTGCTGGATCCAAAAACGTGCTTTTTTTATAATTTGTTGCTTCAAAAAGTAAAACTTTTTTATACCCAATTAACTATATTTTCTAAATAAGCATAACATTTCAAACATTTTGTCTATCTTGAAATTTGTATAATCTAAATACCGGTATTTATTTTTTTACTTACATTTGAAGTTGAAAGTTTTTTTGTGATTTTCCGTAAGTAAAAACAAATTTCTTTTTTCTAAGTGAAATAGGCTACTATATTTATTTTATAGCTATTGCATGTAAAATCATATATTTTTTGGTTTCTTGTTTAGCCTACTTCCCTAACGGAAAATATGTGTTGTTTCATGTTTTTGATCTATATCTAAAAGTAGGCCTAAAAAGTACCTAGGCCTATATAAGTATGTAAAATTCAGAAAAAGTGCAGAGTTTTACACTTTTGAACATAGGCCTAAAACTCAAAATCTTTTATAGTAGTTTCAAATGTTTAGATATAGCCTACCTATTTATGTAGGGGAATCAAAGTAAAACAATCTGTATATCTTGAATTTTCGGAAAAAAAAAGAAATTTGATTTTTTGTGCGCCCATACTTTTGAAATGTACTTAAGTTACTTAGTTTTTGTAGCTAAATTTAGGACTTTTGTTTTTTGTTACAAAAATTTATTTTTGTAAACTAGATTTTTTTATTCGATTGATATATTTATATTCTCTTGAATGTCCCAAATCCGATGGTTTATAATATTATACGTTTTGGTAAATAAATAAGGATTTTAAGTTACAACTGTGAGAGTAAAATGCTGCATGGAAGCCAAAACCTGCCTGGCCCTACAGAAACACTCTATGTGGCCATTCTAGGGTTTAAGTTATTGAATTTGGGTAGCTGTTGGTGACTAATAATAACTCAACCCTGATGTGGGCCTAGGCCACACAGTAATTTAGGAAAACATGAAGCAATGACCATTTACAGTTGGCCAGGTAGCCTGAAAAAGATTTACACACCAATTTGATGTTACAAATGTCAGCAAATGAAATATGGTTTAGTTAAATTAGGTCTAGGCCTATGGCAATATTTTAAAGTAGGGACTGGGTAGGCTAGGATGTTGGCCAAGAAGCAGGTTAAAACAGTTAAAAGCTTAAGTTTTATACCAGTCAATACCTCTGGCTTGGATCATTTTCATCAGGTTCATGCTTCTTAATAAAACCATCTGCCTTATTATTCTTAGTAAGGATGTTTAGAGTTCTTACACAAGATATTGTTAGAATACTGACACTAATGAGTCATGGTAAATAATAGTAGCATATCATAGCCTACCTTTAACTTACCTAAAGTGGAAGGCCTAGGCACTTCTTGCAGTTTTCTACAAGGCACTTATTTTCATAAAGATAAAATGTATAGAAAAAAGGATGTGAGTATAACCATTAACAAATGTCAACAAACACAATTAAGTAAATATAATAAGTGAAGATGACACTTCCTAAACATTGTGCATCTTTGTGTGTATGTATGAATGAGACAGTTACACCACCGCCGTACAAAAATACCACGCCCACATCAATGCTGCCACCACAAATTGGTGTATAACCAAATCTCAAATACCGACTGCGTACTATACAAAACTATCTTTTGATGCGTAAATGTGCTCACTACTACAAACTACAACTTGCCATTGCCACCAAAAATAAAAAGTTGGACTAACCAACTTCTAAAAAGTATATAAGTATGTAAAATTTGGAAAAAGTGCAGAGTTTTACACTTTTGAACATAACTCAAAATCTGTTATAGTAGATTCAAATGTTTTGATATGTTTATGGAAAGTAAATAAAGATACGTCTTATAACACTTAAAACATATATTTACGCTTATACTGTTACTCACAAGACGGTAAATATACAAAAGATGGTAAGTGGTGATCGATTTCGATTGGACACTCCAATCATCATCAGACCCAATAGGCGAATGGCATACTTTTGAAATTTAGTTTTTGTAAATTTCAGACTTTTGTTTTTTGTAAAAAAAAATTATTTTTATGATCTAGATTTTTTATTTGATTGATATATTTATATTCTCTTGAATGTCCCAAATCCGATGGTGTATAATATTATACGTTTTGGTAAATAAATAAGGGTTTTACAGCTTGTGAGAGTAAAATGCTGCATGGAAGGCAAAAACTGCCTGGCCCTACAGAAACACTCTATGTGGCCGTTCTTAGGGTTAAAGTTACTGAATTTGGGGAGCTGGGAGCTGTTGGAGACTTATAATAACTCAACCCTGATGTGGGCCTAGGCAACACAGTATAATTTAGAAAAACATGAAGCAATGACCATTTACAGTTGGAAATTTGTATTGGCGTTTAACGATAGAAATAAGTATGCTGTTGATGAAATTGACAGAAATAGGTTTTTTAGTTTATACATTAGAAGTAAGAGGTTGTACAGAGCAAAGGTGGATGAGGCAAAGACACTTAATAACATGTATTGACATTGAGGCTGCCAAAAATCCCTGCAAGGCGGCATGGAATTTGGTGAATAGTGTATCAAAACAAACCACGACTCTCAAATGTACTGCAAATCCTGATGAGCTTAACAAACATATTCTGGGAGAAATTGACAAAATCGTAGACTCAGTAACTGTCAGTAATGAAACACTGGAACGGAAGTACCGAACAAGCCTATTGTGAACCCCCTTAATGACTGGTTCTATGTAACGCCTCAAACTATCATAAAAATAATTAAACAGTTCAAGAACTCGAATAGTCCAGACATCTATGGTATGAACATTATTGTTCTGAAACATGTTGCCGATATTATCGCTGAACCCCTCGCAAAAGTGTTCAATATCTGGATGAACCATGGGGTTTTTCCCGATGCATTGAAAGTCGTTAAAACCGTACCTATCTTTAAGAAGGGAAACCTTGAAGATATGGGAAGTTACCGGCCAATCTCTACACACGTCTTCAACAGCTAAAATTTCATGATTTAAGAAAATACGACTAGTTTTTTTGATTCGGTCATTTAGATTAATGAATGCATTTTACTATAAAATAAATCATGTAGGTAATATATTGTTATATTGTCCTGTTAAATTCTATTTAATTTTGAAAATAATTATTGTTATTTAATTTTGTCACGAAGTTAATTGTTCAGCTTTCTTTTTTTTTCAGATTATACTTTGTTGGTCATTCTAGATTGGATAGTTCTTTGTATAGGCTTAGGACACAAAACATTGTGAACATTACTATTGTAAATTATGTAATGGGTTATCTGCCAATAAAAAATAAGGAATGCACAATAGCGTGGCTTAAGTGGTATAAACCTGCTTTAAAAGCAACCTGCCTGGATGTGGCATATGAAAAAGCTAAGATAGAAAGGAAGGAACAAGAACACGGTTTTAACCTCAAAATTATCCTATCTCAATCTAATGCAATCCCAAACGGACCCGAACCAAACCTCTCGAACTGGTTGGTTTGGTTATTTCTTCACTACACTACTTACTTTACTTCACTATTCCCATTCCGATAATTCCGTTTCGTTTGTCTCGTGGCTCGTGGTTGTGTCTTGTGTCGCCGACTCAACAATATGTAATTTAGCCTAATAATGTTTTGCTGGACCTTTCAATAGTTTTTGAAATAATTTTATTCTCGTAAACTATCTTCGATTTTAGTTTCGTCATGGTAAGTTACTGAATAATTTTAGCTTTAGCAATCAGATCAAGAATGTTGTTTTTGGAGAGTAGGCCTAGGGATGATTAATGTTGGACACGTGCATCAAGCTAACCAATTTCTCTCGTATTCCGTTCTATTGGGTTTTATATAGACCTGTGTAGCCTATTTGGGTACAGTTTCTTAACTGGGCTATGCTAATATTGATTGAAACTATTGATTCGATTAGTAAACCTTCATGCGATTTTTTCACTATCAGCAAGTTTGGTTGGTTAGGTTTGGTTAGGTTATGATAGTTTAATTTAATAATAGATATATTTAAAAATATCGATTATTAATCAATATTTTCAATTCGAAAGTTTCAATCGATATTGGCATAGCCCAGTTATAAACTGTACCCGCCCATTTTATCAATAACTCCTCATCATACATCCCTACGAGATAGAATTATACACAATTCCTCTCGGTAAAATTTGTAGCTGCTCACACCAAAATGGTTGTAGGCCTAGCCTAGCTAAGTTAGACCTATGGCTAGGGTTCCCAGGGACCCTCCATCAAAAAAGAGGACAAAAATTACTCACCAAGGGTGGTCCTAGACATATATTTGGGGGGGGGGGGTGGAATACCCTCCCCATCAAAGAAGGGGGGTCCGGGGTCCCCCCCCCGAAAAATTTGGAAATAACGTGCTAAAATAAGTACTTTTTAAGCTATTTTGAGGTGTTTTAGCTTCCCAGTTTATTTTTTAAAGGTCAAGAAATGTGAGAAAATAAACTTGTACTCGTATAATGTCATGTTTAGTTTTTTTTTTTTATTATTGAGACTTGTGGTTTTAATATCAAAGGAATACCGCAACATTACAACACATTCAAGCATGTTTGATTTACAAAAACACCCTGGTGCCAATGTGCATGCTAAACAGAAATTGTCCAAAATCAGACCATGATTTTGAACCAGAGAACTTATTTTATCTAAGAAGTGTTTAAGAACTAGCACCCAACACGACTGCATTATACCTGCCCAGCAAGCAACAGTTCATGTAGACCACGCTTAAAACAAAAGTAAACTTTTCTTTCAACTTTTCTGAAAATACACATTTTCTTTTCGGCATTAGAGTAGGCCCTAGGGACGATCAACACGGACAAATTAAAAAGTAAGATAATTATTTTTTAAGTAGGCATGTAACATGTAACGTAAAGTAAGCAAGTAAGCAGATGAAGAGCTAGTCACTGGTCGACGGCCGACGGTCGCTACTGTAGTATGCTACTGGCCTGGCAAACTGGCTACTAGTGAGCAGAGTTATTCAGTTTACAGTCAGCAGAGTCAGGCAAAGCAGGAACCCCATTGTTCGCCTTCCGTTCCGTTTTGTTCTACAGTATTTCCAATGGATTCTAGCGTACGTTATACACGAAATTTGACCTAAAGAAAGAGGAAATGACACTTTTATACGTAAGATATTATTAAAGTGTAGTATTTTAACTTAGTTTAATGTTATGATGACGATAAATTATAAAAGCTGATTGCTAATATTAATACTTGCAGAAATATTTTTTTATTCTCTCACAAAGTCAAAATCCCGGACATTTGAAAGTATTGCCAAAAATCCCCCCGGACGTTTTTTTTGTACCCAAAAAGAGGACGTGTCCGGGAAAAAGAGGACGTCTGGGATCCCTACCTATGGCCAAAAGGCATACTGAAATAGTAGGCAAAGAGCCTAGTTTACACTAGCATGTAGCAGTGGCGACACTTTTACTGGATTCAAAGTGGCGCCAAAAATGTAACGTGTAGGGCCTAAGTTAAACCTCAAATGACGCGCCACTTTTAGGCCCTGTACACATGAGGGCGGCAGCCGCCGCGGTGGCCGCAGCGGTGGCCGCAGCGGTGGCCGCCTAGGAGCGTACACATGGCAGCGGTTGGAGCCGCGGTTACGCTGCGGTTGCAGTGTGAATTGACCGTCGCTCGACAGCCAGTACTGTATTTACCCAATTATTTTTCTTTTAAACGCGTAACGCTTGACAATTCTTTTCAGCCAAAAACTCAAATAACTCTTGCCACACATTCTTTTTTAAGTTTATGTCCTGAACGTATCTTCTTTTTGTACTTCTTTAATGGACAGTTCAGTGTCAAAGTTTTCTGGTTCCACAGCAGCACGCATGGCCATTGTTAACTTACACTACGAGCACTACATCAACTCCAGCCACAGCTACACACTTCACCAACACAGAGAGAGAGAGAGAGAGAGAGCGATGTCCACAGGGCAAGCGCGCAGATGTCTGTGATCCTATAGTAGCAACTGCAGTCAACCGCGGCGGCTACCGCCCTCATGTGTACACTCTCATTCCAACTCTAGTAACTTCAACCGCACGGGAGCCGCGGCGGTCGAAGGGAAATCTACGACCGCCGCGGTTCGTTGCGGTTGATTGGAAGTGGGCGGTTGCATGTGAACGGTCCCATTTGCTCCTTTGTACTTTCAACCGCCGCGGTTCCCGCGAAATAGCAACCGCGGCGGCTGCCGCCCTCATGTGTACAGGGCCTTAGTGGAGAGGTGCAGTGACGTCACTAATATTTGTTCCGACATTGGTCGCCACCAGCCATTTTCCCGACTGCTCAAAAATGGCGACCTATACTCACCGAATAAAGAAAAAAAATTTGACCTCAAAGGGCTAGTTGTTTCTACTACCTAGGTAACATAAAACATCATAATACAATTCAGAAATTGATCATGTTTGAGGGTTTGATTATGCAACTTGTGCCTATGTTACTGGTATACAAAATTGATTTAGTTTTAGAAACAGTAGTAATACCCTAATTGTGACATACGAGTGGAACCGTCAAAACCTCATGTCATGGACATTGCAACATACAAGTAGAAAGGGTTAAGGAGGGAGATGGACAAATTAGAAAAATATTTAGGCTGGCTGTGGAGAGTAATAAAATAAACCTTTAAAAAGTGATAATCTATATTTAAAACTGAAACAGATTTTGAGAAATCAGTTATTAGAACAGAAGGATTAGAGAACAATCAATCTTTTCTAGCCTTAAATATTAAATTTTGTCCTAGGCTGTGTACAATATTAATTATAGGGCCTAGGGGTTAGGCACACTCATGTCAGATCATGTCACGACCTCGATTGCTATTTTCGAGGGCCTCACTTGGCCCACAGGCTGTATTTCGTCCATCACTATTGTTTAAGAAACTTCTGATTTGGCGACAATTGACTAGAAATGTTATTTCATGAGATTTTATATACAACAAAATTTACTATTTTAGCGCCTGTGGCATGGTAAAATATGAGCCTGGAACCATGATCACTATATATTCTTGGGTGCCCATTTACAGGCATTGATTTTCTTTTCAACTTGTGAATATGTTTATGGGCACTTAAAATATCTTGTATTAATTATTTGTATGACAATACAGGGATAAAATAGAGCAGGGTATCCTTCTTATCTTTGCACGGTATCCTTCTAATCTTTGACTAAGTCTGCAGAAACAGAAATAGTCCTAAGTTATCCGAGTGACAAATAAATCTGTCGAACCCAAGTATTTGTTACAGGGTGTCCACATTCTTGAAAGTCAGGGATAGTCATGGAAAGTCATGGAAAAAAATTTTGGTCATTGAAAGTCAGGGAAATAGGCAAGAAGTCATGGAAATTTCCAATTATGGATGGATTTGAGGGGACCATTCAATGCTCTAGTCAGCTGTAACCCGGACTGTTGTAGCATTTTTCAGGATTTTTCACAAATGTTCGACAATTCAATTTATTACAGTTGTATTATTTTATGAGTTTTCGGTTTGTTTTAGTTTATTGTTGTACCTGTTGTACTCCATTGTTATCTGTTATTACATATTTCAGTATTTTCTGCAAAATAACATGTCCAGGCAGTTATATTTGTGTGTGTATGTTATATAATTTGTGTGTAAAGTTTGTGAGTCATGGAAATCAATGGTAAATGGTCATGGATAGTCATGGAAATTAATGACAAATTTTTTGTGGACACCCTGGTTAAGAGTCCTTGGAGGCTAGCGGCCATCTTGGATAATTTCAAACAGCTGCTCAAGGGTTATTTACTGTCCAAATATAGTTTTTCAAAAACCAAAGTGATTATAATTTTAATATCTAAAATACTGTGGGATTAGAAATGTTCTTTTGTAGTTCTCTAATTGTTTTACGAGCTAGAATGTCTAGGCTCCAAGGACTCTTTAAGACTAGCTTGTACCCTACAATAACATAGTGGTGTTGTTCAATTGAACTTAAATAAGAGTAAATAATGTTTTAGGCCTATTGTGAATTTTGATTCATAATCTTCCAAGTCAATTTGAGGAGGACATGCCACATATTATCTGTCTTGTGTATGGAAGGAAGGAGGATGAACAAACATTAATACCGGGCCGCTTGTTCATATGCCCATTCAAATTTTAATGGAAAAACGATATTTAAAGTCAAAAAATGAATTCAAATTTTAATGGAAAAAAGATATTTAAAGTCAAAAAATGAGTAGAGTTTGTTTCATATGAAAGTCACAGGATTAAATTGTCACCCAACGCCCAGTCAGTGGGACTTGTATGTGATATATCGTTTGTTGATTATCGTACGGTTGAAGCCTGTCTACTGTCTGGGTACTATTAATGCACAGTGCTATTGATGGGTCATCGGATTCGTTTGTGGGTGCCAAAACATTGACTGCACCATTGAATTCACTCCCCATCCTGCTGTCCCTCTTCCTACAGCAGCCCGACAATCTCGCCTTTCCCGTCCCCTCATCTTCCTCCCCTTCCAGTCTGCCTGCAGGCTATAGAGCAATCCTAAAAACTCCGTAGTTTCATTTGGTGACATGACATATTGTAATGGTTAGACTTTCGCAGACTAAGTGACGGCCAGTAGCTTGTTTACCTAATGCTTTTTACTTTGTGCAAGTTACAATAATTAGCCTAGCTGAAGGAGTAGGAAGTGTATATTTAATATACCCTTCCTACTCCTACCAACTTTTATCTATGGTGATTTTTCATAGTGAGCAATGTCTAACCTATTTCATTTGATTCACCCAATCCAAATTCAATTGACTCCGGGCCGCTTAAGTAAATGGGCCCGGTCCCAGGGGCACAAGAGGTAGGTTTGTTTGTTGGGGTGCTAGGAAGAGAAAAATTGCTCCGCAAGGAAGGTGGTGCAATTATCTCATGGGCGTATAGCCTATCACATGCAAACCGCTGGCCTGGCTGTCTTCATATTCTTTCTTTCGCTATTTGTACATTAGACAACCTTTCAGCCCATCTCTCATTGTTTCTGAGGCTAGTTGACTTAACATTAAATGTATATTAAATTTCTCTGTATATTAAAATAATATAAACTTTAGTTTAAAAGTTTGTAATTCTGCTTTAAATTAGACTTCTGTTGAAACCGTGAATTTAGTTTTATTTTGAAGCCTTTGTCATAAAGTAACTTAAATGTGAAGGAATGTTTTAGCTCCTTGTCCCTAAGTCCTTACCTGAAGCTCTGTTAATGCCACCATCAATGTAAGAGTAAAATATAAGATAAAGACACGTCTTTATTTATGCAGTATACAAAAATTAACCTACATGAATTTAACATAAGACAAGATTTTCATTCTCATAATACAAGGAATAAACTACAGTTAGACATAACAGCTCATAGACTTAAAAAAAGTAGCAATAGTCATAGACTAAACTGCATTAATTTTTTTAATAAATTGCCTGATTCGGCCAGAACTGTATCCTTCAAGATATTCAAATCTAAATTATGTGAATGGTTGATAAGTAATCCTTTCTATGGCATCCATGAATTTCTAAAAACAAAAGTTGATATTGAATTTTGATGTGTATCTACATGATCCATATTCTATAGATATGTTGTATTTTAATTAACTAAGTAGGCCTATTTTGTAAACCTTTGTATTTTATTTGTTAATTTGGAATATTCTGTATGCGTTTTGACTATGTCTATTCCTTTGTACAAAGAAAGGTCAATGGCAATAAAACTCTTGATTCTTAAAACTCTTGATTCTTGTTTCTTGTCTACTTTACCAAAGGTCTCCGTTCGTAATGACAGGACAACACTAGAGGTAGTAGAGAGACAGGGTTGTGAAGTTAATAACAAAATGTGTTATGCTGAAGAACAGGTGCCTGAAGTCTGGGGTGTATCCTCCTGAGTTCAATCAGGGGCTGTTTTGACCTACTACAGTGTACAGTTGACCCTCGCAAAAATACTTGTGATTTCACGGTACCTTATCATGGGAGGTCGGGTAAAACAGAATGGTCCAGCTACATTCGTTGATTGTTTCATCTAGAGTTGTTAGTTAGGTTACATATCCTAGAGAACATTACAGTAACTGACATGCAATAACCTCTTAAATAATATTTTTTTTGTCTTTTTTCAGGCTACACATCTCTACATCTTATTTGAACATGCAGCGGGGTACGGGCTGTTCAAAGTTAAAGAATTTGAAGAAATTGGAGCGCTACTACCCCAAGTAGTATCCTCTGCATCCAATATTAGCAGATTTTCACAAATTGTGAACCTGGTGTCATTTGCACCATTTAAAAGTGCTGTCACGGCATTGGAAAACATTAACAATATATCGGAAGGTAAATTTCTTCTTCTAAACTTGCATATTTTTACTCATTAAGGGTGTAAGGTTTAAGTCTTGTAAGCGTGTTATTTGTTGCCATAATTCCTGTGTGATGAAAGTTTTACATTTGTCTCTTTACTTTCCTAAATAAGATTTTTATTTAAAAAATAAATTCTGTGTATTTGATGTTATAAAAGAACATATTTTTGGTAGTAAGCCACATCTTTGTATAGTTAAGAGTATGTTTGACCACCTCTTTGAGTAGTGTCAGAAACCTACATAATTTCATAACAAATTAATGGTTTCTCATAGAATTTTATCATATGACATTAATTGTATTATGTTACAGGTATAGTACCTGAGGCACTGCAAGAATTTCTCGATGCTCACCTTCCAGCCTCTGGGAAGAAGCAAAAAGTTTTGTTGGGTATTTCAGAGCCTAAACTGGCTGCCGGTCTCGGAGAAGTCCTTAGTATATCGTGCCAGCATACTGGTGCTGTCCCCGAGATAATTAGAGGTTAGTCATCGCTGCAACTTGGTTTTTATAAATTTGGTACAATTTTAGGAAATTAAAGTTAGGTTGCAGTCCACTTTTCCTTAAAACAGTGAACAACGTAATATGAGTTGGCAGGAGGCTTGTGGCGTTAATATACACTTTACTCATTACGATAAGTGGGCAATTCAATGCCTGCATTACATCTAGAAACATGATTTAAGCAATGGGAAGTTTCATAAATTCACACAAAATGCATTGCAATAGGCTGGAGGCTATTACATTTCATAAGACGGAGAAGTACAGCAGACTCCCTCTAGTTCGGCTTCGGTTGGATCGGCCGCCGGATGGTCCGGCCCGGTCTCAGGGGGACAAGTCACATCATCACTGGCGAATGACCTTTGACAGGATTCAACTTAAATGTTCCGGCCATAAAAGTGTCAGTTTAGTTGATGGGTGCTTCAATGGGAGAATTGTTGCATTGCCGTGATAAACTATGTTACATAACCCCAAAAATATAAAAATACCAAGAACATTTTACATAGTCTTTCTTAAGTATAATATGTTGAAATGCACTGTATAATTAACTATTTCTGACAATTTTTATATGCAGTAGGTTCCCCCATGATTATTTTGGAAACATCACGGTTTATTTAACAAAAGTTAATGGACACATAAAAAAGAAATAGCCATGTTAGTTTCAAGCTTCAAGGTCAAGCTATCCGCTTGCACTGACAATCGTCTGCTGTGGGCTTGCTATGTCACAACAGTTTTGATTGGGTGATTAGTAACCATGGCAACTTGTTGAATGTGTGGATTAAGAGAAACCAAAGAAAGAATAAGAAGAACAAAGATAAAGAAAAGTGGCGTTTTACGTCATCCATTGTTATATGTATCTTATTTTACGACCGTTGTTATTATCTTTAAGACTAATTACTTTACAGTGATTTTATGTTTTTATCAACATTCTTCTGTTCTGAAACAACATGTAGTAGTATCCTATGCTGACTACGGTAGCAGTAGCTTACTAGACTTTCTACCATTCTGTTCTTTACATGATTTATTGCTGTACAGTCTAGTGTAATTTTTGTTTTGCTTGAGTAAGCGTGATTTTAAACGTTACAGTTTTTATTACTAAACCAAGGTTAATGACTTAACATATCACAAATGCACAACACTATTTGTATTTAGATGATGTAAAATGCAAATTAATTATCACATTAACGTCCATTTTATACAGTATTAGGCGTTTTTATGGGTATCGTATGTAATACAGTATAAAGTGTTTATATCATGTTGGATTAACCGTGGTTTCCCTTCCCCCATTACCCCGGATAATTGAGGTTCAACAACATCCGGTTAGTCCGGCCATTTCGTAGTCCGGCTAATAGTCTGGTCCCGAGGTGGCCGAACTAGAGGGAGTCTACTGTAGATAGAAAAAAAGTTACGTTAGATTGATTGCAAAGCTGCAATGTTGTCACTCTAATATAATAGGAAATCTTTAACAAGGGAATGAATTTTTTTCTACATTACATTTCATAAGACGGAGAAGTACAGCAGACTCCCTCTAGTTCGGCTTCGGTTGGATCGGCCGCCGGATGGTCCGGCCCGGTCTCAGGGGGACAAGTCACATCGTCACTGGTATTATTAGCAGATATATTATATTGTATATTCATAGTGACCCTTGGTTGGAATATATTATTGATAAAATAAAATGATTACCTTATCCAACCACAGTTGTTGGTATGGCGACTAGTTTCATTCCTTAGAACTTCATCAGGTCATTTTGTATGCAACCACATCATGAATGTATTACATTGTGGTATGTCAATAGATTATTTAAAAAACCACCACAATCACAATATTTGAAACTTGTCATGTTGTTAAATGGAATAGGTAACAATTTTTTAAACTGATAAAAACTGTACAGGCTAGCCAGCAGCACTGTCTTTCACAGCCACTGACTAAATAAAACTGACTGAATCATGGTGTTTCTTTTTCTCTTCAGTGCCACCTGTATTTCAGTTTGTTTATTTCTTCTTATTTTATACGTCTTTGATTTGTAACTTGTCAATGTATCAAATATAATATTTGATTGGGAAGAAGTCTCATAATTTAAAATGTTACATGGGTCGAGTTTTTTAGCTTTGCAGATGGTGAATTATTCTTTAACATCAAGCTTAAAAAACTATTTGGTAATACCTACTTAAACTATTTCCAAGTTCTTCTGAATAGATGTGTATTATTTGTGCGATTCCAATATTAGATTTATTAATACATTGATGATGTGGTTGTATACAAAATTACCCGATGAAATTCTAAGGAACGAAACTAGTTGTTATACCAACAACAGTGGTTGGAAAATGTAATCATTTTATTTTATAAATTTTTTTCCGCGTACATGTTTCTGACTTTGCTTGTCTTAAAACCGATGTTTGTTTTGCATTGTGGTTTAAATGTTCATTAACATTTCACCAGGTATCCGGGCTCATTTTCACAAGCTGGTACCAGGCTTTTCACTAAAGTCCTGTGGTACAGCTCAGCTGGGACTTGGCCACAGCTACTCGAGATCCAAAGTCAAGTTCAACGTACACAGAGTTGACAATATGATCATACAGAGTATCGCTCTACTAGACCAACTAGACAAAGATGTCAATACGTTTTCCATGCGTATAAGGTACGTCCTTGATGTATTAATTATATTGACTCAGATTTGCGATAGTTTTTTTTCTAGCCATACACTGGTTGAAGGATTTTAAGTGCATTTTCTAATATTTACAGATTCGGATAGGCAAGAATATAAATTAGATGTAACAAAGCGGCCAATAAATTGGATTTATTGGCATGATCGTTAAAAAACTTCCTATATTATATTTACATTCCAGATTATGATGTAGGCCTAGTTAAAATTTTGGTCTCAACTGGCTGCTTGTGGTTGAGAATATTAAAACAACATAAATTTGCCTTAATAGGCCATTTCAAAGTAAAAGAGATTCTTAGGTCGACAAACTTAAGTAAAAAGCCTGTTATTATTCGACCCCTAAAGTCTGGAAAATCATGATTTTGTCCTGGAATTGTCCTGGGTTTTGTATTTTTTAAACTCTGAATTCCCAATGATTATGGATCAAAACCTTCAACAGACAATGTTTATCATGTAAACTTGATTTTCCAGAGAGTGGTACTCCTACCACTTCCCAGAACTTGTAAAAATAGTGCCTGAAAACTACATGTATGCGAAGACAGTTCAGTTCATCAAGAACAGAAAGAACCTGTCAGAAGATCACTTGGAGGGACTAGAGGAAATTGTTATGGACAGTGCCAAAGCCCAGACAATTTTGGATGCTTCTAGGTCTTCGATGGGTAAGTATATTTGAATCCCCTTTGCTCAAGTTCTGAAAGTAGGCCTAATCTGTTCTCTTTTACCCTAGTTTTGGTAAGAAATTCTAGCTGTCCTGTTCCTCAGACAGCTAAATTTCACCCTACACCTGACGTATGCAATATTGAAATTTACATTTTGCTGAGCTGAACAATTGCTTCATTTTGGGCGGAGGTTTATAAATAGTATTTATTTTATACTTTTCTAGACTGCCAAGTTTATCTCTAGTTCATTTAAATACATGATAAAAAGACTATTTTGGTGCAAAAATATTCCCTTGAAAATAATATGAAGTATGCATGGTGTCTACTCTCCGGGAAATTCGGGAAAACCGGGAAAACTCCGGGAATTTTATCTTACCTTGAAATGACCTGGAAAACTCCAGGAATCCACCCAAACCTCCGGGAATCCACAGCCCGGTCATCGGAATCGTTGGCTAACCAAACACTACCGCTTTTGTTGCCGAAATCGCGGGAGACGATTATCGGTGTCACCGAAACGGCAAGATATCCTCACGGGTATTGCCGCGATCGCGGGAGACTATTATCGGTGTCGCCGAAACGGCAAGATATCCTCACGGGTATTGCCGCAATCGCGGGAGACGATTATCGGTGTCGCCGAAACCGCAGGATATGCTCACGGGTTTTGCCGCGATTGCGGGAGACGATTATCGGTGTTGCCGAAACCGCAGGATATGCTCACGGGTTTTGCCGCGATCGCGGGAGACGATTATCGGTGTTGCCGAAACCGCAGGACATGCTCACGGGTATTCCTGCGATCGCGGGAGACGATTATCGGTGTTGCCGAAACCGCAGGATATGCTCACGGGTATTGCCGCGATCGCGGGAGACGATTATCGGTGTCGCTGAAATCATAAAATATGCGAACCTGTTTTGCCGCGATCGCAGGAGATGATAGCTGGTGTTGCCCTACCTACTAGTTATACTGTTTTATTATTTTGTATAAAATATTTTTCTTTGGAAAAGTTTTGTATTAAATTAAAATAATCATTAATAGTAATAATAAATTATTATTAGCGGGTTGCGATTAGTTGAACAGGTTTCGATAGTATAAAATTCAGGAATTTGTCTTGAATTCTCCTGGAAAACTCCTTGAATTTTTCAAACCAGGTTTAGTAGACACCATGGTATGGTATTCAATGAAACTATTAACTTATTTTGTAGCGTAAATATTCAATATGAAATAGGTATTCCATTTCAAGGTAAATAATATTAACCCCTCGATACAAAATTGTGACAAAAAGTTTTGCCTGTCTGAAAATTAGTAAAGGAGAAAAGCTTGTTTACGTAAACCATATTTCATATCAACGTAGAATGTGAGGGTCTGTAAAGATTGTATTCATTTAACCATTCCACTTTGATTCTACCCTCTTGCTTATTTTTGGTAAGGATATAGTTGGCATTGATCTTAATAATAAGAAAGGAGTTTTAAGTCAACTATAGTCCATGTCAACGTAAAAATGTATGCAAACTTTGGTTCTATCGTCTATGCTCATTTCAGGCATGGACATAGTTGACATTGATCTATTGAACATTGAGATGTTCGCCAAGCAAGTGATCAGTTTGGCAGACTATCGCAAACAGCTGGCAGAATATCTGCACGCCAAGATGCAGGGGGTGGCTCCTAACTTGGCAACCCTTGTTGGAGACCAGGTGGGAGCCAGGCTTATCTCTCACGCCGGCAGTCTCACAAACCTTGCTAAATATCCCGCCTCTACAGTTCAAATACTTGGTGCTGAGAAGGCTCTTTTTAGGTATGATTGATCATATCACACTGTGTAGTTATAGTTATAAGTAAACCCTCAATCCGGGAAGTTCTGAGGTGCATTAAAATTAATAAATCATATGAAGAAATCCAGCCTCTCAGGATTGTTTAAGTCTTGTTTGTAATGAAACCCATTTTACGGATTAAGACTACTGTATATAGTCTATTCTAAATGTATATATATAACAAAAAAAAAAAAAAACAAAAAAAACTACAGTAAACACTGAAGCACTGCAATCTGGGGAAATAACTTATTGGTTTACATTGACACTTTTCTAAGCTAGGGGTGTAAAGATTCCTCAGCTGCTGTCCGGTTTAAGCCACATTCGGTTTTAATGGGGTCATACCAATAGTCGTAAATTTTATTTTATTTACAGTATCCTACTCAATTTGTTAAAGCAAAATTTTTAAACTGGACAGTTTAATGTAAGAATAGTTTAACGATTTAGGCCTACATTTTAAATATTTTATATATATATATATGTTTTTTCCAATTAAAATACAAATTTACTAAACTTGTACAATTTAGCTACAAAAGCCATTTATGGCTCCTCTGCAGCAATTATTATAATGTTTGTTATTTCACAGTGCTTTTTTATTCAATCAGTCTTTTGTTTCCCTTGTTTTTCTGTAAATAGACTATACCATGACACAGAATACAATAATATACCAAAATAAATAACAAACCAATCATAGAATTTAAAGTAGTCAGATTTTAACAATTATCGATAAACAGTGAAAAAAGTAACAGTCATAAACAGATTTTAACAATTAACTAGCCTAATTAACAAATATCATAGACAAAGTTTTAAGTATTAATCTAAATACATACTAAATACTAAATATTGTATAGTTGCATTTTACTAAATCAAATAATTTATCACCACATTTGAAGCTAAATCCTCAATTACAGAGACCATATACTACAATCTTCGTAGATTTAACAAAATTGTGATTTGTTTCTTCATTCATTTACTAATCCATTCCTTCCTCACCTATTTCTAAATCTGTTTTATATTTTACAGAGCCCTGAAAACTAGGAGTAACACGCCAAAGTATGGGCTTCTTTTCAACTCAACATTCATCGGCCGAGCTGGCCAAAAAAACAAGGGTCGGATATCTCGATATCTGGCCAACAAATGCTCGATTGCGTCTCGCATCGATTGCTTTTCTGGTAGGCCTAACTGTTATTCAATAGTAGTCAAAAATAACTAAGAAGGTTCATAATGTAAACTTTCAGGCCAAAACTTAATTATAAGTACTAGACCTTGAAATAAAGAAAACGTTTACTTTGTGGCTGCAAACGATTTTGTAGCAACTCCCTAAAGTGGTTTCCAAATTCATGCGACTAAATTTAGGCTACTGCTACTATAGAACTCCAGCTATCTGAATCAATTGGGACCGAACTACATTACATAATGAAACATTCGCAAAACTAGATCTTTACTGAAATTTGGGGTATTTTATAGAAAATAGGCGGAACCGAGCCCAGCTTTTACCATTCCGATTGTAGAACAAGCCTACGAAGATTTTGTGATAAAATAGTTCATGCTTTTGTTCACAAAGGACAATGATGACCATTTTTATTTACCACATCACAGGAATTGATGAAGGTATCAATACGCCCGCCGAAGATAATAACGTGATCAGGAAAGACAGTGATAATATTTCCATGACTGCTATATACTATGATGATGTCTACACAACTGCATATTCACGATTTTTCCACCATCACGGCTTCTGCCTTTAATAACGATTCTAATCACTCTAGTCTTAGGTTTTTAAAATTAGTACTGTAAAAAATTAGGATAATTGTCAATTTGTATAGTTGGGAGTTCTACTGTAGTTATACATTTTTATTTTAATGACTACTTCTGGCTCCATCGTGCCAAAGAGTGATATTTTTGTATCTTCATATAAACACTAGTTGAACATTAACCAATACCCTTTTTACTGAAATAACAATGAGCTTGAAAGAAAAACACAATTAGTCTATATCTAATAATATATATGTCTAATATTAGCTAAAAGAAGAGAAAGGGAAGGGACTGAACAAAGATGGGTGGTTCAGGGTTAAGGCTGTTAACTGTTACACAATTGAAAGAAGGTAGCCTACAATACTTGCCTGTCTCATCTATGATTTACTGGTACTTCATCTGTCTGCCAGAAGTGAACAGAAATAGACACCATTTTGTTGTTGCTGTTCAAAATGGTGGTGTGGTTGCGAAAACATTAAAAATAAAAACAAACTAACAATGACATATTTGTTAAAACAGAAGAATTGCAGTAGGCCTAAAAAAACACATTTTATATACATGTTTAAATTATGTCATAACATTCATTAGAATAGAAGTGTTATAGCCTCAACATGTACTTTAGTTACTTTATTGCATTATTCTCATCACCTAAAATGGTTTGATAACATTTCAGCTCCATCCAACCCCCATCTCCCTTATTTTGATTAAGACAGGTTGAGGTTCTGCTGCATTGTTTGAGTACAATTAAATATAAGTTATTGGTTGACATTTTATTTTGTTTGTCAAGACTCTCAGACTTCCGTGTTTGGCGAGCGGCTAAGACAGCAGGTTGAAGACCGGCTCAAGTTTTATGAAACTGGGGAAAAACCCAAACCGAATGTGGAAGTGATGACAGAGGCTGTTGAAGAAGCCACTATACAAGTAATTAATTCCATTTTCAATTTTAACCATCCTAAAATTATATTTTCCTTTAACATAATTCAATACTAAATTGTTTTGCTTGTTCATGGATTGTTTATGGTTGTAAGATGGCAGTTGTGGTATGTAAAAGTAACAAACTAAATCAAAAAGTTGTTGACAGTTTTATTTAGTTAATGAAACCAGTGATTCCTGGCATTTTCTGTATCACAGCTGATTATGAAATTTAAGTACATTTTCAACCAGTTTAGTCCTACTTATAAGAGTGCAGGGTCGAGTGCTGTTTGCCTAAACTCTTTGACGTGGGTCATTTTACAGCCTGAGGCTTGGCGGGGCAAGTGCCGGCCAGGTATCAGTGACTGGTTCCACAGTGCGGCGGGTATGGGGGTGGAAAGATCGACCATGGGGGATGAGCAAAATTTGTTTTAGGGATAAAATGAAACTCTAAAAAGTATAACCAAATGTGCTGATTATGAAAAAAATTGAATGAAGGTTTACTAATTGAATCCATATTAATTTTCTATCGATATTAGAGTAGCCCTGTTAAGAAACTATATACCCGGTCTCCGTTACATCCTGCCCACTACACACCCTTCCACTAATACTCCTCCCCTGAATCGCTCTGTGGAGTCAAACGGCTCTCGTACCTGTCTGACGGTTTTGACAGATGTTAATAATTCCCACGGCAAAGAATAAAACAGCACTCTTCGCTCCGTTTCCTTACTCATAATCTAAAAAAACGAGATGGTGAATGTCTCTGTTTTAGTGAGAGTTCAAGAATAAAGAATTTTAAGTCCACCTTCCCTTAAAAGTAATTTTGTTTCATTATATTAAGTGCTGCAGGAAAAGACAAAAGACATAAAGAATTATTTTGCAAGGCAGTTTTCGTAACCCTACCGGTAAACCTTTATAGTTTTCATTTGGTCTGCAGAAACCATATGATCCGAAAGTAAAGTTAATTCATTTATATATCTATATATATTTTCTGAGTTTGAGGTGTTCTCATTTATGTTTCATTGAATAACTCTAAACATAAAAGGTAATGTTGAATATTTTTCTGTGACTTAGTGGTTTTAATTATTATTAACTTGACCACCAGCACAACAAATAAATGCACAATAATCACTCTGGAATGAAATTCATTCAATTTTTAACTACAGACATAATTTTCATTAACAACAAACATTGTTTCAGGCCGCAGAGGAGGAGCGCCTCAAGAAGAAAAACAAGAAAAAGAAGAAGAGGAAAAGCTCCGAAAATGGTAATTTTTTTCAGTTATTCTAACCAAACATTTAGTATAGGTTTTGGTGGTCTATACCTGATCGGTTAATGGAGGTTTTCTTAGTGGCAGGGTCGTGAATGTAGTACAAGTCTTTTAGGCACTAAATTTTCCTTGCAGATTTGACGCTAGTGTTGAGTCTAGGTATGATAAACGGAGCCTTGATTGTCAGTTGAAATCAGCAGCTAGGAAAGCCTTTAGTGATCATCTTTTATTTTTTCAAAAAAATTAAAAAGTTTTTATGATTTAGAAATTTATTTTACTCTATTTCTTGTGGCGTGGTTTTTATCAATCATTTGGTTCATTTAGGTGAAGTGGACAATCAAAATGGGTTTGAGGAGATGATCACTGAAGAAACGAATGAAAATGGTGATGCCCCAAAGAAAAAGAAGAAAAAGAAGAAGAAGAAGGCTAGTGCTGACGAATAAGTTTTCTTGGGAACACTTTTGTACTGAGTACAATACTGTAGTAAGTTAGTTACTATTTTTTATCTATTGTTTATCTGTATCTATTGTTTTTGACTTCTACCTTTTTTATTTGAAATATTAAAAAACAAAACATCATCTTGTGTTAAGTTTATGATCATTCTATTTGCTGGAACACTTAATGTTTTATTTGTTACTATAACTTTGACATGCTGTTGAAAAATCCTTTGTTACAGTGTTATCATAAAAAAATGTATTAAGTGCTATTGTCTCTGTCTTACATCAGATAGTATTTTATCTGCCAAAACCATTTTACTTGTTTGTAAAGTGCCTTTGAATAATTTTTGTGGCAATTCACTAAGTAAAACTGAAATTAAATGTGCATCAGAGTAACTAAACGATTTAATTCGGTCTTAAATGTATTTGATCTTTTGAGTTTGGAACGGAGTGTCAAAGTTGTTTGATAACTTTAAGGTAAACAATTCCAACAAGTTGACTTATTTTATTCATATAAATATATTGTATCCGTCACCATTTAGCAAAATCAAAAAATCAGGGGATCGTACTATCGTGTTAATAAACGCTTTCCATATCGATAAAAAGTGAGTCGGTCGGGGTGAGTCGGTGGCTCAGTTGGTAGCGTCACGGACTTCGCGGCAGCGATGTCGTGGGTTTGTATCCTGGTCACTGCCACTAAAGTTTATCAGTACAGTTCACCTTCGTACTGTACCAGCTCACCCCTTGCTTTGCTGGATACGTTCCACGCACAGATCTGTAGTCTATGTGGACGGGCAAATGCAAGGTTAAAAGAGGTCACCAACCTCTTTTTATAAAAAAAATCTCATAGAATTCTGTAAATTCAAATACCTTACAGCTTCAGCCGAATGTTCCCAGTGTAAGTTTAGCATCACAAAACAACAAAAATTGTCGGAGTACCCACTCAACCCAAGAGTTTAAACTAACCATAATTGGTTTAATTAAATCGTTTGGCTTTTTTATTTATTTCATTCAGCCCTTAACTTTGAATTGTTTAACTTTAATTTGCTTTAAATTTTACTTTGACACTTGTTCCAAACTTGTTTGTTAACCATCAGTGTAGTAACTGCAAAAGTAATAATTAATTGTATTACTTATTATTATTATTATTATTATTATTATTATTGTATTAATTGAGTGTTTGTTTGAGTTATATATGAAAAAAGTTGTTTAAAATTAGTCTAAGTTTGATAATATTTTTCTATGATGTGATTTAATAAATTCAGTGACTCAAGTCCTTTTATTTTGCGACAATGTTTCTACTTCATTTGTACAAATAAAGAAACATATTAAGTATATGTGTATCATTTTATCCATGTGGTATTTGAACTAAACTATTGTAATGAATGTCTAATTAGTAAAAAAAAAAAACAGATTTTACTTAAAATTGTTTGAATAATCCTTAAAAATTTTTGTTCTTAAAACTATAAATAGAGTGCTGATAAGGCCAGATTGTTTGAAAAAAGGATGTTAACAGTTTCTAGTTACAGTAGAACCTTTATCGCTTATGGGGATTATCAAATAAGACTTGCTGTTGCCATCAAGGTTGACTTCTCTTTAAGTTTAAAATACCACGTTATTAGTGGTACAGTAGACTCCCTCTAGTTCGGCCACCTCGGGACCGGACTACAAAACTAGTCGGGACTAACCAGATTTAGTGCATTTTACATAATCAAAATACAAATAATAGTATTGTGCAATCGTGATATGTTAAGCCATTAACCTTGGTTCAGTAATACAAACTGTAACGTTGAAAATCACGCTTACTCAAGCAAAACAAAAATTACACAACACTGTGCGTACAGCAATAAATCACGTAAAGAACAGAACAATAGAAAGTCTAGTCCTGCAAGCTACTGTTACTGTAGTCAGCGTAGGCTACTACTATGTTGTTTCAGAACATAAGAATGTCAAGTCAATAAAAACATTAAATAACTCATAAAACAGCATACAATCATAGTACTTAGTCTTAAAGATAATAACGGCAGTCGTAAAATAGCATAAAGATAACAATGGATGACGAAAAACACCACTTATTCTTTCTTCTTTGTTCTTTGTTCTTCTATTCTTTCTTTGGTTTCTCTTCATCCACTCATTCAACAAGTTGCCATGGACTAATCACCCAATCACAAACTGTTGTGAGATAACAAGCGCTCAGCAGACATCAGTTGTGTAAAGAGCAGATGATTGTCAGTGCAAGGGATAGCTTGACCTTGAAGCTAACGATGGCTTTTTCATTGTTTTACTTTAATTTCTTTTTGTCAAATAAACCATGGTGTTAAAAAAAAAAAAATAATGGGGGAACCTACCGTATAAAAAAATGGTCTGAAATATTTAATTATACACTGCATTTCAACATATTAGACTGAAGAAAAACTATTTATTAAATATTTTTTTACATAGTTAATATGCAACAATTCACCCATAGAAGCACCCGTCAACTAAACTGACATGAATAGTTTCAATAGACATGGTTTAGCCCCTGAGCTGAATTGATGACTAATATAATATAAATGCCTCGTCACAGCTCTGTAGTTTCTGTAGATTACAGCTGTTTCGCCATTAAAATGCCATCATCAGATACACATACATCCACCTGAATTGGCGTCATTTAACGACGCCAATTCAGGTGGATGTATGTGTATCTGATGATGGCATTTTAATGGCGAAACAGCTGTAATCTACAGAAACTACAGAGCTGTGACGAGGTATTTATATTATATTAGTCATGAATAGTTTACTTCTATGGCTGGAAACTAAACATTCAAGTTGAACCCTGTCGAAGGTCATTCGCCCACGACATGACTTGTCTCCCTGAGACCAGGCCGATCCAACCGAAACCGAACTAGAGGGAGTCTACTGTAGTAAAAAATCAAGGATATTTGAAAATCACACTTGTTTTCGAGGGTATTTTAATCTAGGTTCCACTGCAATACGTATCCTCAAGTAATCAAGAACCCTCAATTACAATCTCTTCCTCATAAACCTACAAATTATCCACTAATATCTGAATTGGTCACCGGTGTAGACGTTGCATCTATATGGATGAGGTTATAGCCAGTTGTTTATTCTAAAGAGAACATAGTTGAATTTTCTAATTGTATAGTCGGCCCACTATAGAAGTTTCATTAGTTGTCTTGATTGCTGACCAGGTCACCCAGCCATAACAGACGGTCATTGTGACCATTGTTGTAACAGTGCTGAGCAATATTATGTTTATTTTGTTAATAAAGACATTTTTCATTTATTTAATTTCATATTTAAATGAGCTAAGTGATCAACTGTAAAAGTTCCATTTTATTCCTCAACTTTCAATACTAGAAATAAAAAATGTATAATTATGCTATGGTTAGCAATACTTATCTGTTCAGTTTGCTTGGTTAATACGTTTTTGGTACATTACACTTTTGGTAGCTCAGTTCAACGATTTTTATATTATGACTTTTAAAAACATGGTAAAAGAAGCTACACTAGAGTTTAAACATGAATGGTGCTTGAATATTCAAAATTGGGTTTGAATTTTGTAACATTTATGTATTTGATTACCTACTTAAATATAATTTAGGCTACATGTCATGAACATAATTTAGTGCTGAAAATTCTTGTGGATGAAGGGGTGTTTGGGGGTGCTGACACGTCGTAACATTGCGTTCACACTGACTGAGTTGTCCTCCGCAGGCCTACCACTGTCCATCTCATCACAGCTGGTCACACTCTGGAGTCGTCCACTGTTCAGAATCGACATTGTTTCCAACAACAACTGCTTTAGATGAGCCACGTCAACTGGTTTTATTTCTTTGTCCGTTTCTTCAAGTATTTTGAACTTTTGAGGCTTGCTAGAACAACAGTTTTTTTTGTTTTTTTTTTGGAATTTGATAGAAATATCAATAAATAAGCAAGGCACACCGGGTAATCATAATTACATTTATTAGCATTTATAACTCAACAATTTTTGTGTGAAAATGCTGATTACCCATCCGACTTCTAGAAGAACTGTGAAGAGTAATTAAGTTGTGTACTCCATGTAAAAATATACATCAAAATCCTCTTTTAAAGTTTTTTTTTTTTTTAAATTGTGCCAGGAAAACTAAACACTACTGTAACAAGAAACTTAAATCTACTTTTTGGTTGGTGTGACAATTTTGCCCAGGAGCCTAAAATGAGGTATTTCGGAGGCAGCTCAAAAGTTTTAAATATAATGTCCAATCAAGTGACACCTCATTTTAAAGGCCATTAGTTAAAAAGAATATCCCCAAAAACCAGAGGTCCCTACCTCAACCCAGTACAAAATGGCAGCAGTATTTAGTTTTCAGGGATTATATTTCACATTTTTGAGCTGGCCCATTATGTTTCATTTTAGGTTCCCAGGGGGAATTGTGATAGCAACTAAAAAGTACCCTGTTTTTCTTATGGAGTGATAAGCTTTCCTGGTAGAATTCTATAGAATGTTAATAGGGGGTATTAATGTAAATTTTTAAATGAGATTCTGAGATTGATGAAAACTAAAAACTACCGCCATTTTGTTTTGGCTTGAGATAGGGACCTCTAATTTTTCCCGATATTCTTTTAAACTAATGACCTCCAAAATGACGTGACACTTGATAAGGCGTTAAGTATATTTAAAATTTTTGAGCTGCCCCCAAACCATTTTGGGCTCCTGGGCAAAATTTTCATACTGACCAAAAAAGTAGTTTGGTCCAGCCGGTACATAGCCGGCCGGCACATGTACCTGTATAAATGTTGAATTATGTGTTCATGTTATGTGTTTTTAATGTTTAAAAAAATGTTGACGAATCTGCAAGATGAATTAATAAGTATCCATGGACCTGAAGATAGGGCTTTAAAGCTCTGAAATGCGCATCGTCCTTTAGTGACTGGATTCATAACTGTTTGACTGTATAAGGTACGTAACCTAGATAATACTTTGAATAACAGTTCAGGAGGCAAAATAATGAATAAAGTAACCCCAGACGCATGTTCCTATAGTCCAATCATAGTACAGGAACTCGTTTTAATAAATGTAGGTTTACACATTTATACAGTAAACAATTTTCATTAAAATCGGATAATTTTTCCTCTAGTTACCGTGCTACAGGACACACATATTTTATTTACAAATATGAATTTGGAAAACGGATGGAGTTTTTGGCATCTGTCAACTTCAAAACGAAAAAGTAAATAGCTCCAGGTTTTAGTAATAGCTTATTCCCTGCTATTGGGAAACTCGCTAAAAAAGGTAATCTAATAAAGGCCAATTAGGTGATAAAAAAGCAAAAGTACCTTCTGTTCTGGAGGGCAATGTTGATGAGCCTCTCTAGCAGGTAGGTTGGCAGAGTCTCAAAGTCAGTGAAGGTACTGGGTCGGACAGTGACGAAGGTAGGTATTTGGTGCCTTGTAACAAATTTAGGCACCAGCCATTCCACATACCTTGTGAATACCTTATGGCTTAGGACATATTCCAGATGAGAAACAAAATCACATTGCTTCTGCAGCCTCCTTATGTTGCCCTCAGTTTGGAGTCCCTGAAAAATCAACAGATTAGATCTCTTTTTTACCTAAAGTGTTTTATTAAGTTACATAAAAACATTTTCCTTGTTTAAATATGTAACTGTTGGTACTAAAATGCACCTATACAAGATTGAAAACATTATTTTTAACAAAACAGAGAAAATACCCCAAGAATATAACTAAAATATTGGTACTGTATATGTGAGTCAGAAACACAACAGACTACGAATTCATGCCAGTAATGAAAAATGTTAGTTCTCGTCCTGGTGCCCACCACCACATTTGATTGGTACCACTTTTATATTGCACCTGCTCAACCCATACACAGGTTGGATGCCTATGTGGATGGGTAAATGTAAAAGAGAATAAAGGAACACAACGTTAATCTCAAATTTAGACTAGCATGTTTGGCTGCGATGGAAGCTCAATGGAGACCTTAATTTACAGACAACCCAGGTTTTTTGTAGAAACTTTCCTACCTGGATGTCACTGACAGCCAATCCAATCATCAAGTTCATGAGAGCGACGGAGGCCAGGAGGACGAACAATAAGAAGATAACACGACTTGTAGGTACAAGTGGCCATTCCTCACCTGCTGTCTGCAAGAGAAATCAAATCATAGATCATGTTGACTCAGTGACTATACATAATTTATAGATATTATAAATTACAATAATTAACATGGAATGGAAAAAAATTCACCCTTTTTGTTCAAAAACCTAGAATAGGTTGTCTTGATCGGTCTGGTGAGCATAGTAGTTGGCACAGCTAAGTTTATCATCGGATGCCGCTTGGATAGTCATTGGAACCCAAGATTAACATAAAAGACTCGTTAATAAGGCCAAAAAACAATGGATTGAGGAGTTATAGGGTTTGCGTTTGCATGTGTTATTTGAACTTGAACTGATTGTCTAGATATGATAGAGTAAAAAGACCGAGCTCTTTAGCAATGGGTTTGGGTTGGATTTGCATATTTGCATATTACTTTTTGAAATCCGTTCAGTCAGTCCCATGCTATCAGTGTGATAAATCCTATTTGTCAGAACAGGTCTGTTATTTAATTAATGTTAATTTTTCCAATGTTTGTTTTGTGTAATGTGTTTATCCATCAACAATTCCAACTGAGCGACTTCACATGTATCTGAAGCTAAGGATAGTGTTCTAACACCTAGACAAGTCCTGAATAAACATATTGTTTTTTTATTGTCTGACATGAATTGTGTAAGTAATTAAGTCTTACCTCTGTTTTGTTGCCACCAAAAAGACTGTTGTAGTCATACTCTCCAGTCATCATTACCGTTGTTCGTACCAGGGACAGCCAGGGGTTGCTGAACTCAAGGTCTTGAGGGAACTGAACGGAGAAACTCAGCGCAAACCCGATCACCAGACAGATGAATGTAAGGAAAACCTGTCAGTGTTGTTTTATTAATAACATTGTAAACCACACAATTTTTTATCTCATATTTAAATAGCTAGTTTCACTAAAACTAGGCAATATTCCTCGATTTATGAATAAACGGAAAAAACCTCAGGCAACTTGTAAAACTATTATGTTTTGGCCAAAATAAGTACAAAAAATTCTCTGGGAACTTACTTTGACCTATGAGTTGAATGCGGTAGATTTTTTAAATCTTTGACAAAGAAATTCCTTTTAAGATCAATTTACCGTATGATTTTATTTGACCAAGACCATGTTAAATATAGATTACTATCAAAATGAGTCAGATATCTAAAAAGTCACTTGATTAATCTGGACTAATACAAATAATATTAATTAATAAAATAATATCTCTTTTCTAATAGGATGGATATGGATGAACTCTGCAAAGATAAAATTGTTTGGGTCAAGTTTTGAGGTTTCAGATAATCCAGATGTAAGGGTAGAAAGATGTCTTGTCTTGGCTAATGCCATCATAGATGATTAGCTGAGTGGCCGGAAACCAGAGTCTAATGTAACAATATTAAAGATTGCTAAATTTGATCCTGAGGAAAGTCAATGCCTTTGATGGTTAGAAACTGGTCAGTTGTTGTTTATTGTTAGGCTTTTAATAAACAACCCTGGTTAAAGAAACAGCTGATCTTGGTCTGTAAAAAAATCATAAGGATCTTAATTTTTGCCACAGTCGCCCCTGATTCATATTTAGGTTGAAATGTGCCCCAGTTGCATCCCAATCTTATAATTATTTTAATGATTAAGCTATCTGCTGAGGCTACTAGTGAGATTTTTCACTTTTTGTTCTCTCCCTTGTTAAATTTTATAATAAGTACGTAGATCACTATAAGGTTAATTAGGTTCTAAAGCTATGTTAGGATTACTGATGAGAACTCATTTCTCCACACACCTTAGATGTGCCTATGTGGTGATCTGTTCATTATTTTAGGTTTTGTAGGCTATGTTTCTATAAAAATTTTTCTTTTATGGAATAAAATGTTTGTTTTTTTATTTGATTCTTAGAATATTAGCAGTACCCACATCCGAGCATAAAAAATTATACAAGGTAATCTATTGCAAAATCTCAAACAACACACTTCTCTATAGTTTTCTACAAACATACCTTCATGACATTTTGCAAGACAACGCTAAACATGAGAGCGTAGTAGCCCCATGACGGAAAGCGACCAATGAGAGACATCAAGGCACCCCAACTCAGCAGGGTAACAATGGATGCAATGTGTCGAACCCAGTAAGGCATTGGTTCTTTCACAGAAGCTGAGAAATCAAACCCTCCAGGGGTGCAGAGGGTGATCAAAAGGGAGAGGAAACAGTTAGCGAGAGTCAGCCAGGACTCAAACTGTCTCAGTCGCTGCCTACCCATCATCACGAGTTCAGTAGCTGCGTACACCAGTAGTACACAGCTGGAAAACATCAGCACCAGCCTGGACCCAATCATCTGTAACAAAATAAAGGGATTTCTTATTTTGTATTCATTTTAAAAAGAAGTTGGTGGCTGGGCTGCTTTTATAAATGGGCTCGGTTGGGTCGGGCCCAGGGGTGCAAGAGGTTTTAGGTTTGTTGGGGGCTCAAGGAGGAAGAAAATTCCCCCACAAGGTAGGTGAAGAGGGGCACAATAATCTCTCAGACCCATAGCGCATCACATGCAAACTGCGGGCCTGGTCGGTGGCCTCTTTTTTCTGTTCAAGAACCATCCTCTCTCTTTGTACAAAGTTACATCTTTCGTTTGTGCAAGGTCCATCAAGAGGTTGAGGGATCTTGTGTTCATCCGTCTACATGGGCCTCAAAGGATTGTGTGTGGAATGTTTCAAACACAACAAAATGGATGAGCCAGTACAGTAAAAGAATGAACTTTACTGATAAATAAGTGGCGATACTGGGTCATAAGCATATATCACTGCCTTGTTTTCCAAGTTTGTCGCGCTACCGACTAATCACAATATTAAATATGTTTACATTGAAAAACAAATATTTACAAAATGAATACTGTATGATGCTTACAAGATCTAGTAACTAACTATGTTGTGTGAATTCCAAATTTGAAATTCCACCTGCCACTGCAAGCCTGCAGACTAAACAAATTCCTATTTGCTTGATGGGAGTTTCACTATAATATTTCCTTAAACATATCAGATATATTCCCTATAAGTTAGTTTAATAAGAACTCAGATTTTCTGCTAGGAGAATAAACATAGGTTTATATGATTGTGTACTAAATTTAATCAAAATCTGACTGCTAGATTCTACTCAAGTTATCGCGCTAACGGGCACACAGACACATCTGTATGTATATATATATGTATATATAATTGAACGGACAATATTTTGGGCATCTGAGGACATCAAAACAAAAAGGAAATCGGTCCCAGAGGTTACCATGAGACCAAAGGAAAGGCTTATTCCCTATATGGGAAATTTACTAAAAAAGGGTGCAGATTGACATAAAGCCTCATCATGAACAACATATTAACCATTTTAGTCAGGAGAGCCTCATCGACATTTTAATATTTTTTTTATATACTCAAATAATACGTTTTGGTTTAGTTGAGCAAAAAGATTTGCAGTCTGTGAGAAAGTTCAAAAGTATTTTCATCTAGATTATAGTAGGCTATTAAGCTCAATTTGTATTCTATATAAATATAAATAGAATATAAATAGATGCTATTAAGCAGCTATTTCAATTCTGTGTGTTATGTAATAGTGCTTGCTTATAGCTTGAGGTACTTCGATACAAACTATGGGATTTAAATTAACTTTGTACAAATTTGGAAGTTAGGAGTGAGGATAATCCTTGAACTTATCAAACTGGGCTTTCCATAGGCAACCATTTGGCCACTTAAATATACAGTAACATTTTGCTAACAGTTGTGGTTTGATTTAGAACCCAAGTATGGGTCTTTAGCATATTTGCTAAATATAGAGGCATACTTGGGTAAACGATAGCTAAAAACAATAACAAAGGAATTCAGAAATTCATTTGTTTTCTCATGAAACTAAAATAAGACACATATTTTAATTCAAGTTATGTTTAAAAAATTTACCTGCTCCTTTTTGTGGACCCAAATTAATATGTAAGTGGAAAGAGAAATAACAAAAGTAAGGTGGACAAACACGATGAATAGGAAAAAGAAGCGAAGTTTTCTCCACTTAGCCAAGACGAAAGACTCAACCAGGGGATGCTGAAGTATCTCTGAAGTATTTGTAAAAGTTGAAACTACCGACATCTGACGTTTGCAGTCTTGAGGGGAAAGGAAAGTGAAGTCCAAATAAATCTGAAAAAACTATAGGTTAGATCAAATGTTAAAAGAGACCATGTATCTCTATCATCTGACATATGTTCTACCTATATCTGTTCTATTATTCAAACCTGTCCTTTTTGTAATGTGTGTATCTTGTTTTACAGTGTATTACTGACATTTTCATATCAACCTCATTGCCAATCTTATGTTGACCACCAAAACAGACCCTAAAAGAAAAAAAAAAACAACAACAACAACAGACAAGAAACATATTCAAACTATGAACTACTGGGTGTCCCGGAAAGGAATGCACTTTTAAAACGAACAAAACAGGAAAATGGCTTTATTTACAGCAATTTTCCCAAGAATACCTGTTTGTACACTTCAGGGAAATTACTTGTGAAAGATTACATCTTCCAGATGTAGACCTCTACGGTGCCGGCACTTCGCCAAACGAAAACTCACATCTGCGAAGACTCAACGGCAGAGTTCTGGTGAGATGGCTTCAGTTTCCTCACGAATATTTTGCTTTAGATGATTGGAAGTAGCAGGAGCGTTGTTGTACACCCGACTTTTTAGATACCCCACAAAAAAAGTCTAGTGGAGTTAGGTGTGGGCTTCTTGAAGGAAAGTTATTGTTACCAAATCTGGAAATGACTTTCCCTCAAAAAAGCTGACTTATTGTAGTCATGGAGTCTCCTGCTGTATACCCATGCTGTATTTTTTTTTGCCTGTACTAATTGAGTTTTGTACGGGTGAAACTGCAAATCTTGTTTCAAAATGCGGTAAATATTGGTTCGGGTATATTCAAAGCAGCAGCGTGTTTTCTTACTGATCGATGTGGATTATCCTCTACAGCATCTCGAATGCGCTCGATATTTTGTTCAGAACGCGCTTCTCTATAGCGACCGATGCGACGAGGTTTCATAGTTGATCCTGTAGCTTCAAATTTGCCCACCCAGCATTTAATAATATTCACTGATGGCATTTGGTTTTGAGATCATGAAGTCTGTATTGAGCACGGAAGTGTCGTAATGAAAGCGTTTGATAATAGTCGCGTACACAGAAAGCACACTGCTTGCCGGTAAAGCCATCCATGGCAAATGACTTTCCACGGCATGGCTACAAAGCCCTGATAAGCTCCTTATCTTATCATTCTTGGACATTCGGCTTTCCCCAAAATAAAAGTGCAATCCTTTCTTGGACACAAAGTATAATTATTTACCTCAAAATCTCTGTCATTTATTGATGAGTTGTTGGCGTTAATTCTAGAATCAAGGCAGTCAGTTAGAAAGTTGATTGGGCGAGGAATGTATGACATGATAACATCCATTACAGTCATATCGCCATCAGATATCATGGAAATATCTCCTCCTTTATCCATGAGAAGTATTAGACATTCTCTGAAACCTCCGTAAGCTGCCTTGTGAAGCGGAGTGCAGCCAACCTATGACAACAAGGAGAACAATTTTTGAAAATCTTAAACTAATAAGGGATTGTTGCGTTTATCCTTAAGTGTTTAATAGAACTCTTAAATGCTGTGAAAGGTAGTGTTGAAACTGTGAGGGTATTTTTCTTGTGTACAAATGTTGAAAATGTATAAGAGTGATTACCAATTAGCTACCCATCTACATACGATCAAATAATACAAATTGGCTTACAGTATTTGGCCAGTTTACATATTTAGAGGCACCAAAATTGAGAAGAAGATCAACAAGGGTGGAGGAACCTCCGGTTGCGGCTACATGAAGCACAGTTTCAGCACGTTTAAACGTGTGAGAGCAGGAGAGGTCTAGTGCTCCGGCCTCAAGCAAAGTCTGTGAAGCTCTGACTGACCCCAGCGCCACTGCGTGGTACAATGCTGACGTATTTAAATCCGCGTTGATCTTGTTGATTTGAGCCCCATGGCTTACCAATAGATCAACTATGGCTTCATACCTGTCAACATAAATTTCAAAACTGATATTAATATTTGAAAAATGTAACTAATTATGAATTTACAAAAGGACAACTTGTCAGAAGTTCCAATCCTAACAAACAAGCTGTTACCTAACCTGAGGACGGGATCAGATTCCAGATCCAGAAACCTAGTAAAAATTACAACCTTGTTTTTTACTAATCAAGATAAAAAATGTCTACAAAAAACTCTTAAACTTAAATAACACATGCTATTAGAACAAGATTTAGCAGGATGCTGTTGTCAAAGACCTCTAAGTCCATGAAATAAACTAAATACGCTTATTGGACCGAGTTTTACGAGAGCATCCCAACAAAACATGAAACACTTTTGACTGTTCCCTGGAACTGCTGCTAACAGGTTGACTAAAACCATATTAGTCAATATTGCAATTCTGATGCTATAGCATTTAAGAAAAAATACAGGTTTTATCACCATTGATTAAAACCTTTCAAATCGCATTTAAAAGTAGATAGAAAAAGATTTCAAAGTTACAGGAATTAGTTAACTTTATCTCATGATCAAAAACAATAAATTAAGATTGATGAGTTGTTAAAATGCTTACCTATTGATACGAAGGTTACTGACTCAATCCAAATAAATAGTTAAACATTCTGAAAATTTAAAGCTACATTGACCTGTCCTTGATAGTTTTGATTTTCAATAAATGCTCATGGAAATGAACCAGTGGCTCTTAGTTTTCAAAACTGTTGCTCAATACCGCATTTCCCATTAGGCCCACTAGGCCCTAATATAGCATAATCATAATATAGCATAATTAGGCATAAGTTATAATCGTAGAGGTATATAGGGCGCCAAATTTTAGGGGGCGTAAAATATTCAACTTCTTAAATGAATCCCACGAACGCACCCACGCGTCAGACCGGTAGCCCTACCAGCCCACTGACGAGCGGGCCCGTCCGCGAGACCGAGTGTAGTTTGAATTTGCCGCGTTTAGTAAGCAAATAGATGAAGAAGAAATAAAGGGTTGCCTTGTTTGGTACTGCCGTGTTGGGAATAACCTGCTTTTACTCATGTGATATTTCGTTTTGCTGTTGTCCCAACAACATCCCTGCAGCGACTGCCAAAAGTCAGCTATGTTATTCTCTCCTGCTTACTTAACCTGTTGTGTTGTTCTGTTTATGTTTAGTTAGTAAAAAATGTCGAATTATGCCGGTATTTCACTTAGAGATAATGAAATAGGTGTAATTTTTTCAATTATATTTGCTCACCGGTATTATGTATTGTGATGGAATTATTTCTGATTTTGAATGTTGTTCATCATAAACGTATTTTGTGTTGTTTATGTTAAATAAAAAAGACTAAAAGCTCATACTTTTCAAGTTATTTCACACCATCCAAATACAATTTTGACCATAAAAATTATTATTTACTTAAAACTGGTGGATACCGGTACATATAGGCCTATATTTTTTACAATACAATATGGTATGGTATTGTAAATGTTCCACTCCTACATTTTACAAGATTGGGATCTTCTGAGGGAAGGTATTTATCATTGTTCAGTTAATCTCATTAGAGGTATAGTATTATAGGGGCATATACTGTATACATTTTAAAGGAGTTGATTTATTGAAAGTATCAACGGATTATCCTTGTATATATGCTACTCAATGACAATGATCGTGACATTATTTACGTTTCCTGACCAATATTACGGCCGGGAGGGCGCAACTGTTTTGTGGGCCTAGGGGCGCCATTTGGCTAAATGCGGCCCTGCTGTTGCCTCAATCCTTTGAAACAATGTGTGAGCATTAAATAATGTAACAATTCATAGGATTATCCTTGTGCTTGTACTACTGTGTATGTAATAGCAGAGATTACACATGATACGCAAAATAGATATTGCAGCTTACAGCAATTTCGTGCCAAGTCGTTTTTGGATGGGGCCACCTTCACGTAGTTGGGTGGTCCCTCAACAGAGGTGCTGTGTCAAGTCTCGATCTTCATCACCTATTCAAGTTCGGGTGAGTACGGTTATGTTCGCGCGCACTCGGAATCAGATCACCTGTACGCAACTACCACAACACGCTGGCCGGCCCGTCGTCGTCGTCGTCATGTCTATCTAGTTTAAAAGCGCAGGGCTGTCATTAATGTACCATAACTTTATCTTTTGACAAAAATAATTAAAAATAACAGTGTCTAAGTTAAGTGAAAGGAGAACAATAAAGCAAAGGTTTTATTGATGTAAACATGCGTGAATAAAAATCTTAAAAAATTACAAGGATACAGTGATATTATACGCTTACAATATGTTATACCGTACAATTTTTTCTGCATTGAATTTTAACGTATATTTAGAAAATCCTTAACAATTTATCAATCTTACAACTCTTACAAGTTTTGAACATTCGTGACCTTTTGTGATGTTGTTGACATTTCTGATTTCGGAATTCTCATCTCTTTACACAAAGTTTGTTTCTGGATTTTTAGTTTCATGCAATATCTTACGAACTCACGATGAGCAATGCATTATATTGCTCAACAACTAACCATTCACTGGCTACTTGAGCTATTTTAGACCTAGCAATATCCACAGTTTGTAGGAGGAACATTTCTCTATAACAGATCAGTATTTGTTTTCAGACTACGTATTATCTTGTCACATAATTGGTATTTTGTGAGTGAAGTTTGTAATAAAGCCATGAAGCAAATGTGTCCAATATCATACAAAACATTTGGATTGTTTTGTATAAAAAATCTTTCAACTGACCACTTAATAAAATACTGTAAATATAAGAACACATAGTTTTATCAACAGCGGAACCTTAGTTATACATAAATTTAAGTTAAAGAGGTTCTCTTTGCCACTTAAAAACAATATTCAGGTCAGAAATTGGAGGTCAGTCATACTCTTTCAATCACACCAAAGTGAACAGACTACTTGCTGCTAACATGGCTCTGGCAAGGGGGTACTGTAGTGCCTGACTACTTACCTGTATATTAGTGCCTGACTATACTTACATGTAAATTAATTTTTATTTAACAGATGATATTTATTAATTTACTAATTCATCCAATTATTATTGTTCACTTTATCTTTTTACTGAATACACATATTTTTACTCTTGTCTAGCATTTGTGAGTTCACAACTTCAACAATAAACAACAACAACAAATTCGTAAATAACAGCTGGTCATGTCGGCAATTAAGTCTTAGGTTGTGAAAACATTCGCCAGGCCTCGCATAGTAATTGATATCACAAAAATGGCTTGGCTGCAATATCTATTTTGCGTAGCATGTGAAATCTTTGGTATAAGTTAATTTTTCTCAGTATTCTTATATTATTAACACAAACTCAAACTGCTAAATATAAGAGACGATGTATAAAGTTGAGGTTTTGAACTTTATGATAATCTACTTAGTGTGTGTTTTTGAGGCAAACATTTTCATATACTTTTTGTTAGTTTTCACCCAGGTTTGCTGCAACATATCTATACAGGTGTTTACATGATTGTCTCTTACCTAGCTAAGCCACCAGCCCCAGCTAGAAGCAGAGGAGTCAGTCCCTTGTCATCTTCTAAGTTGACATCTGCTCCGTTGTCCAGAAGTGTTTTTACACACTCTACGTGTCCTCCCTTAACCGCTTGGTGAAGTGGACTTCTTCCCCAGGATGTTGGCAACGGTACAAGAATCTGGAGACGCTGAAACAGGTTTGCCAACAGTATTTAGAAGCGTTCTGGTAGAGGACAGAGTGTCCTGTAAGTACAACAAATTTAGGAATAGGTTTTTCGTTGGGTATAAAACAAAAATCAGGAATAAATATTTGTTACGAAAATGCCGTGTAACGAATATACACACGATTTAAAAACAAACATATAGCTTTACAAATATTAAAGATATACTTATGAAATATGGTATATGATTTGATTTGAAATAATTAACTATTTGCAAAAATGTTCATTAAAAAATATTACAAAAAAAACACCTTTCGTGTACGGTACCTTGCTGGATAATTTCCAACTACCAACTGACAACATTTTCACTTATCTAGAAATTGGGGGTTGCCATGATTTGTACATAGTTCTCCAGAGCTGGAGTTCTACACTCTATCAGGTGGACCAATCATGATTCACTTCACTTTGGTGAAATAGAGTTCATGTGTTGTGTAGTTAACAGTCTTACCTCATATTCACAGTCCAAATCTTTAGGTAGTTTCTCAACACATACTGAAGTTGGTTGAAGTGAATGTTGTATTTTTAATCGGCAGTTGACCTCAGCTTTGGCATTGACCAAGAATCGAACCATTTCATTGTCACCCCTGGCTGCAGCGTAGTGTAAAGCACTCCGCCCTATCTTGTCAGTCGCTGAAACCTTTATGCAGGAAAGAAATGTTTGAGTTAAATATTTACTTTTATTAACACGTTCACTACCGCAACCGTACAACATTTTTCTTTCATATGGACCAGCAAAGCATATATGCTACAGCTGGTTTGTACCCTGGTCACATTAAAATAGACTGACGTCGCATATTTGCGTCAGTGTTCCAATGTTATTAAACAAGCCTATATCTTCGTAACGGTCTATTTGAAGGCCCTGAATTCTCTACAGTGGTCTACAGGGATATCTGTTGCCCATGTACGTCACTTGGTCTGTGGATATGATAATTAGTAACGTCATAGTTAAGTTTGACATCATTAGTTAGTGATAGTGACGTTGGTTACTCCGTTTGATGTTCTTTTTCCGGAGTAGTAAATAGGCTAAGTAAAATCCATTAAATCCATTTAAAAGAAACTATTATCAAAGAAAAATACAACGTGAATTTTCACCATAATTTTAAGTTAAAATAATCGTATCGAAACGTGGTTTAAGCAATTAGTTTTCTTTTCTCAAAAATTTGGAAAATTAAATATTAAAATCCATCTAGTTTGGTTTTGAAAATTATTATTTAATTTTAAATATTATTTTGTTAGCAAATGTATAATTTTAAAATCTGTTAGCATTTTGTAATTTAAAAAATAATAATCGCAAAACAAAATAAACAAATATTTACCTGAGCTCCTTTCCGTACGAGAAGGCTGACCAACCCCAAGGATTGGCCCCTGGATGATGCAAGATGTAAAGGAGTCATTCTTTGAGGTCCTAGACTACAATTTACCAACTCAAGAAAAAAATTATCTGATGCAATAATTCTGTCAACTTTAGCTAAATCATTCAACATTATTGCCCTGGATAAATCAATAATTCTGGAACGTAAAACTGTGCTTGAGAATTCTATTTCATTTCTATCAGTATTTGAGTAATTTACCATTTTTGTAGAGTTTTTAGTACAAAAGTTATTGGTCGATTAGAGAAATCACAAAGCAACATTCCTACAAACTCTCCATAGCTCGCTCTAGCACTGATTACTGATAAAACTGATTGTGGTAAAGGATGTGGTTGTTTTGTGACACCACAAAATTTATATCAAGACATTTGATATCCATGAGTTATGCACTGTAAACATGTTAATGAAAATATTTATTAATAAAATGTAGTATATTAAGGACTTCAGAAGTTGTATTTGTACAAATGGAAATTCCATAGATATCTGAGTTGACAATTTTATGATAAAGGTTGAAATTTCATAACTTGGAAAGAGGTTTTAAAAATTTCAAATTAAGTTTTCTAAACAAGTTATTAATTTACTTAAGCTCTTAGCAATATCTGGTACTTATTATGGTATACATAGAATCATTTAGTGAGCATTAGAATCATTCCTTCACCATCATCTTTTAGCGACTTTCCCTATGGGGAAGTAGCTATCACCGTAGGTGGCACGGTAAGACCTAGGCTCGGGACTGATTTACATTTTCATTTTGATGTCCCCAGAGGCCAAAAACATTATTCGTTCAAATTTTTATATATATATATACAGAGAGAGAGAGTTATATATGTGTCCGTGAACGTGATAACTCGAGCAATCTTTGTCCGATATTGAAGAGATTTGGTAACCTTGAATGAGTTCGCAAACCAGCATGATTGGACCATGGGAACCAGGTTTTATGGGGTAAAAATGAGGTTTTCTCATTTTTGACCCTCAAAACACAAAATTTCTTTTTAGACCTTTTTAAAGAGCTAAAAAAATAATTTAGTATATCAAAGTGTACTAAGAAACTTTGATAAAACATATGTATAAAACATTTTAAATATTTGTATGTTTATTGGTGTAAAATTAAAAAAACTGTTAATTTAAAATTCCCATGTTATTTTTATGGAGAATATTGTAAAATGTTGTAGTTTGCTTGTTTATGGACATATTTTGATCACACTTGACAAATTTATTTATTTTATACTAAGCTATTTATATTTTACTAAAAACCACAATTTATTAGTTACCTTGTAGCAGCAAACTTGGGTACTCGTTAAACCTAATGCTATTTAAATAGATCTAATTGAAAATCAATTCAGACAAATGGAAATTCGCTTAGTTGGCAGGTTTGCTGCGGTGGGAATATTTGTTATTTTGTACAGTAATCTAAAAAGTATCAGTTAGATTTTGTTTAATAAACGTATTCAGAGTAAAGAAAGAGTGGTTGACAGTTTTCTGTCCCTCACTACCCTCTCTTCACGCCATCCATAGCGAACACTATCCAAATAATTAATTTGATTTGATTAATTTCTTAAAGAAATTCCTTAAAAAAACTAGTTTTTATAATCTGTCAAATAACACTTTTTGATTACTGTAAACATATTTATATCATGTTATAACATCATTCATTACGATTTAGTCACAGTTTCAAGCTGGGAAGAGAAAGTTTCACATTCAGTCGAGTATAAAAAGTATTATCTTGTAAGGAGCCTAGTTAACTAACTGAGAACTAACAGTTAGTTAGGTAATCAGACTCTCCCTAGTTTAGCAAAAGAAAGTTAATGATAAAGTAATTAGTTACTGTTCTTCAACAGATATGTTTGCTGGTATAAATACTTTTTCTCTTGCTCTAGAATTGTAGAACGAATAGTATTACAGGGTAGTCTCAATGGCTTCTTTACCATTGTTATACCTGGTGACCATGGTAAGTGCATTTTTGACTACATTGAATATTTTATGCGGGTTTTTATCTCATAGATTTAATTTGTATAATCCTTTGCCAGGCAGTTTGAAGAAAAATTTATTCTAGTTCTTCAAACAATTTCCATATTTTTTAAAGAAATAACCGTGTAGATATTCTTGTAGATATATATATTGTAGATATTGTAGAAATATTATTGTAGATATTTCTTGTATATTGTGGTCTATACTAATACAAAATTTTTTTTCTTTAAATCCCTGTGTATATTTTTCTCTCAATTGTTTTTAAGCACTAACTACAGAGTTTAGTTAGATATAAAAGATAGACAAATTAACAATTAATAATTATAGTCTCCTCTCGAAAATCACTAATATTTTGTGTCTAATTTATGCGTTTTTCTTTTTTGCAACTTGATTCAAACACTGACACTCAAGGCAGGATGAGTGTAGAATATATACAAAGTTTTGTGTAGGTCAGTTTAAAAAAAAACAACAACCTTGAATCATTCTTGAACTTCATATGGTAGAAATCTAAAATCCATCATATCCAGACGTACTGATAAAAATAATAGGACTTTTTATCAATAACATGGTTTGTTTTTATAAAATATTATTGTAAATATACAGAGTGAAAAAAGTCACAGGTGGTTAAATATTTAAAAAAGTAATAAAGATAGAGCTTTAAAACTTAGTACACAGTTACTGGGCAGTGGGCATTAACATAATTTTAACACATGATTCAGTGATACACTCACTACCTCTTCAGGGAAGGCCAACTAGGAGTCGGAAGAAAATTTGTAATGTAAGTAAATACGCACATCAAATTAAAGATCTTTACTAGTAGAATACAATGCCGCAAACTTGAACTCAAACTGACAACCGAGTCAAAAATGGCAGCAGTTCAAAGATTTCTTGAATCTGCCATTTTGAATCTTTGAATAGCTGCCATTTTATACTCAGTTGTTCTTTTAAGCTCAAATTTGTGGCATTATATTCTACTAATAACATTTAATTTGATGTGCATATCAACCTATGCATACGTTTATGCGTTTCTTCCAACTGCTACCCCTGAGGAGGTAACATTAATAGCAATTCAAATTTAATGCATCTTTGAATAGCTGCCATTTTTGACTTGAATGTCCGTTTGAGTTCGGCTTTGCAGCCTTGTATTTTACTAACAATGACCTTTAATTTGATGTGCATATCAACCTATGCTTACTTTTAAGATTTTCTTCTGACTCCTAGCGAGCCGTCCCCCTGAAGAGGTAGTGCATCTTTGAATAATGTGTTAAAATTAACTTAATGTCCAGTAACTGTGTACCAAGTTTTGAAGCTCTATCTACTTTAGGTACTTTTTTAAATATTTAACCATCCCGGGACTTTTTTCCCACCCTGTATAATTGATACTGATGTTTCATAAAGATGTACTGTATACCATTTGTCTCAAAGAGGAAAAGATTCATTTTAAAATCTTATTTTTTCAGCTCGCTGTTTACTCTGAGCATTTTGTGTCTTCGCAAAAAGAACAGACAAATTTACGAATGTTGCTGCCTCGACCTGAAACTGATGAAGTTAGAAGACCTCTATCTCGAGAACCATTCAGACTCAGACCAGGAATTCTGGGGGAAGTCTTGGACAGAATCATGAACAGGTCACCTTTGAACATGGGATAAAGGAGATGTAAAAAATTAGTCGTTAATTAAATCCTAAAAAAACAAGGTGCAAAATCATTTTACTCTGGTTTGATCCTAAGAACCAATTTTTCTTACACAAAATGTAATAAGACAAACTTACTGTGTTCTAGAATATTGTTTTCTCTTGTGTGTTAACTATTCAATATGTCATTAAAACAATCACATTGAACACCGCTTTGCACAAATATTGGTTTTAAGCTGATTGCAATGACATTAACTAAAAACAAAAAACCAATTTACCATGGACAGGAACAAATAAAACCATATTATTTAATTAAAAACTTTAATGAGTTTTAAATTATGTAAAAAATCTTTCATTTCAACAATACAAAATTAAAAGATACCTAATAGTAATTGTAAGTAAAAAAATGATTAATTAATTAACAAAGTAAAAATCATCTTTTTCAACAATAGGCTTACATAAGTAAAAGATATAACAGTAATAGTACAATATTGATTACTTAACACTATTTTTGACTACAACAGTCTTGTTCTGACTTAATACATTTTGGCAGGACATTCTGATGTAGTAGAATCCCTATCGCAACACTATCAGAAGAAACATGTTTTGACCAGCGACCAAGAAATAAAATAGACTGACAGTGTAGCCCGCAAATTGAAGCCTCCAGCTTTGGCAGGGTGAACAACCAAGCGAGCTGAGAATGGTCACTTTTTAAGCCAAGACCCTGATCAAAATTGTTTTAATTTACTTTTAATGGCAATATGTGGGGAACATTTTTCCCTTCTACGCTGTATGAGATCATCCAAAATAGGGACAAATGTAGGTAATCTACTGCAGAAAATAAAATATTCGTCAATATTTCTGACAAATACACAGTTGATATCTGATTTGATATATTTACATAAATCAACATTACAAGTACCCATAGAAAGCTATTTCATCTAAATAGAACATTTCAATAGCAAACTTTTCGCTTGCTACAACTTTTCAAGGCACAAATACTAGTGTTAAAACTGGAGTAACAGAATTAAATATGAACTTGTATTAAACCCTTTGAGCTTTTAAGGGTCACAAAACATCATTTATTAGATTTTTTAAGGAAAGCCAAATCGCTGGTTAGGAATTATTTTGAATGAGGTTAGAGTACAGCTAACTCATTTAGAGCCTGTTCCCGCCCGAAGCCGAGGTATGTCCGCTTCTGCGATTTATAGTCCTATCACTAATTCAATGCTACCTATTCGTAATTGTGTGTCTTATTTTTGTTTGTTTATGTGTCGTTGATGAAGCTACAGCAAACAGTTAACAGTTATCTTGGGGACTAGAGGTACTTGATAATGGCATACCAGCCGAAAGATATGTCACATAAGATTGACAGCCTGAAACTTCAGACGACTTAGGTACCACAATAGTTTCTTAAAGTGTCACAACAGTTTCGGTTCTGGCTTCTCTTTTATTTGCCCGTTCACATAGGCCTCTGCGTGGAAGTGAGCTGGTACACGAAGCCTGTCGCAGATCTGATTGACCCACCGACTCACCTACATCTGTAGTTAGTGTGGCTTCTACCGCACTTTAAAAAAAACAAAAAACTTTGGACCTTGAAGTGTCCATAATGGGGAAATATCATAAACGGTATAATCAAATCATTTAAAAAAACCCTAGAGCTCAAAGGGTGAAGTAAATATGTAGTTATGAATAATAAAAAACTACTGATATTGAAAAAAAATTAATATACAGTATAACATTTTTAGGGAACTATTTACCATTTGACACTTTGTCTAACACCTAAAAAGTAAAATAAAACTATCAGCTTCACAAAACATACATTATACTGTAGTTGCAAAGAGACTATGAAGAACCAAAGGGTTGGGCTTGTGTCCAAAGGGGTATTGTTCACCGGGTAGTAGCCGGTCCTTAATTACTGCTGCTTAACTTGAGTTCACATTTACTGCAAATATGTAAACATTGATCAATTTGTAAGAAATTTAGTATCATAACAAGAATTTTTTGTTCACAATATCCCATTTTCTGATTTGTATTTATAATATTGATGAAAATTACTTGTATTTACTCGGCTTCTTAGTCCCCTTTAGAGTTAACTCAGTTGAGTGACAGTGGGAAAGGACCGATCGCAGCACCAGTGAAGAAGGCTTAGGATACGGACCAAACTCCTGTTTTAGCATAGCCTGTCCGCAACGATGGAAAATGATGTAATTACCAAGCACATTAATTTGTAATTAATGACATGTTTCTCAATACATTATCACAAACAGGTTGAAGTTATTTAAACACTTAAGCCTGGTTTACACGGGTAGAGTTTCTAGTCGAGTAACTCTACTCATGTTAACATTCAATAGCTCCTGCTAGTAGGTGGTAGAGTATCAGTATAGTTACTAGCATGTGGGAAAGTAGCTCTACTCCCCCCCCCCCCCCCCCCACTGACAAAATTGTCACTCTCCTGTACACTTGTGTAAACGTGATCCAGAAGAGTTTCTAGTAGAGTGACACTGTCTTGTGACTGGTTTTTCACACTCATTTTGGAAATGAAGACACAATCATAAACAATCATCAGTAGAGCTTGCTTGACATCGGTAGAATGGACAAGAAATTAGCTCTACGAGTAACTGTACACGTGTAAACCAGGCTTTAACAGTCATCTCTGTACAATAATTAGGAATAGAGAGACTCCCTAGCAACACTTAACATTAAAACTATATTTAGGAAAATGACAATACATGGACCCGTATATATTAGGATTGCTTTCTGAGCAGTGAGAGCCAGTTGCGATAAGGTGATCACATTTAATGATTTGTTTATGATATTTAATCAAATTCTATAGATCAAATAAAACTATTTTATTGATTGAAATTATGAGTTTATCGACGATGACAAGTTTACTTGCACTGTATAAAGTCTATGGAAACCATGTATTTCTAATAGCCTATTTAGATAAACATTGATTTGCCAACATGCTAATAAGTTAAAACCAGGTAATTTGATTTTAATTATTTGTTTTTAACAATAGTATTTGATTTTGTAACCATCGTGGCAAACTATATGTCATGATTCAATTGATGAATAATTGAAAATTTTTAGTGTGATTAAATTGAATGGACATTATACAATTGATATTTGTTTCTTCACAAACCTTCCCACTATTCATCAAAATAACATTGGTATGTTTGGCTTAAATATTTTCAGTAGATATTGTGTGATGATATGACAAAGTTTTCATTGGAGCCAATCCCACAGAGATTATGCTTTGATCCACTCAATAATAAATATATTGACAGTAAGTTAGTAAAAAATATCTTACTAGTGTGGAAAATAATACTATACATTTACATAGTAAAACAAATGAAAATGACTATAAACTAAGATAATAGAAAAAAATATTGTAAATCGTATAAGAAAACAAATAAAAATACTATCAAGTAAAATTATAGAAATACTTAACAATAATCCATAAGAAAACTTATGACTAAAGGACTATAATATAAGGTAACACAAGAAAAACACTATAAAATAATATAGGAAAAGTAGCTGGTTTCTGAGCTCTATGTAGATTTTCACAGAATGGGACCGGTAAAGTCAGCTGGAGTCCACAGAAGCTGCACAATAAAATGTTTTATAATAGTGAACAATATTTTAAACACTGTTGTGATTTTGTTCGTATGGGTTGTGTTTTACTTGCCCTTTACATTTGTTGCCGATAGTGTGGCAAAAAGAATCGTACGCAACTTATCCCAGAATTTGTTTACTGTTTATGGTAGCTTTCGCTTACTTGCATGTTGCCTCGCACGGGAACTATCATGCTTGTACTGTAAACATCTACTTCTCGGCCTTGTGGCGCAATATACTATTATTTACTGTGATAAATATTGATGTTTACATGTTTTAAATGATTTATTACTTTACCAGCTGAAGAATAATTTTGTATAGGCTACCTCAAATTTATAATAAAAGGTAATTTTTTAATGAGACTCTACTTTTGAAAAATTATACGGGCCATTTTATTTCATTGTTTTAGCAATGTGCTCTAAAAAATTTTCACATTCATAAATCTTGTGAAATTCTTTCCTCTAATTTCCAGATAAAATAAAGTAAATGGTAGTAAATATTTGGTATAGAAGAATATACAAATGATTTGAATCTAAAGGTAAAAATCTTTTTCATCTTAATCAATACTGTAAAATACTTTACCCATAACCGTATTTTAAACTAGCCTTTTCAATTCAATTTTTTGAACCAAAAAGATTCACTTTTCCAGATGTTTTACTTACTTTACAGCACTGGTGTGGTAAAGTAATAAACCGATGGGGTTCAAGAATTGAGAGAAAAAAAATAAAATTTTCAACTGTTAACACCAACCTATCAGCTAGATTGTTTAGCAACCAATTCAATTGTTGTTTTTGTCTTAGTCATAACATCCTAATTTAACTGCAGAGCAGTGACGGCAAAAGATTTCATTAATTTTAAATAATATGTGTGCAAAACTATATATATATTGATTATCCTTCACTGATAATAATAATAATTTAAGATATAACGGTACTTACACTTTGTTTGTTTTGATGTTGTAAATAAACGGTAATAACCATTGGCATTATTTTAGAGTTAATTATGTTAACTGTTATATTTTAAAGAGTGATTGCTACTCACTTGGTGCATTCTTGCTGTTAGGCCTACTTTAACAGGAAATTAACTGTATGAAACTTATTATAAAAAAAAAGTTGACGATGTCTATTGTAATACTTGTATTGCTTAATGACAAATAAAGATCTTGAATCTTGAATCTTGAAACTGTTTCAATACATTCTGAATTGCTAAAAAAATATATAATATTTGCCTACTTTTACTTGAAACTGTACTTAGTTCTTACTAAGTATCTGAAAATATGTATAATGTTTGTATTTATACTGCTAGCAGTATCCATTCCCTGAAAATTAGCATAAAGAGTATTGGTAATGAATATTTACACGCACATTTAAAAGCCTTGGCAAAGTAATGTTAGCAACTCACAAAAATTTTTAATGGCTTGTGCCATAAATTTATAGTAGTGACTTAAAGACTATTTTTAGACGATCGTTGAACAAACTACTATTCCTCTAATTTCCAGAAAAAATATGTAATAGAAAAAGAACATACCATTTATGTGGAGAAGTATTTACTCGTCCGAACTACTCTCAAAACTTAGGAGGAGGTTCCGTGGTTTCATCCTCTTTTGGCTCCTAAAACAAGCAAAACATGTTTTAATTAGTTGATCAATCAAATAACTTAAGTCAAGTTACAAAGTATCGCGTAGATTAAGAGCATCATTTAGATAATGAAACAAAGTTTGCCACTTTTATAAAAACGAGCCTAGGTACAATATTTATTTAACGATTGACCCTGGAATATTTTTTTATTTTTCTCTCATTTCATTAGGTTAAGTCTTTTAAAGTCTTTAATCATATATGTATTTCATCCATCACGATATTTGATATTTAAAAAAACTAAAAGCAAAAACAGCAAAATCTGTGTCCCCCCGCCTCTATAGTAATGTCAAAAGAAAAGATGCAAAACAGGTGGTGTATGCAATTTATAAACTCAATAATGTCAAGAATGAATAATATCAATGATGTCGTTAACTTCCACCCAAGCCGGACATCGTTTATTTAAGTTGGGCTCTCCACACCAGCTAAGCCACACATTAATAAGCTTAATATAATATGGATTGAACATATGCAGGAGTCAAACCCACGCATATAGAAAGACCTCAATGCTTCACTTGTCAATGCAACATCTTAGCCAACTTCCATGACTACCATGCCACTGTCGGCCGAACGTGACAAGTGCAGCCATAAACACACTAGCCCTTGCAGGTTAGATTCAACAAACTAATGCCCCGAGCTGTGGTTAGGATTATGTTTCAAAGTATAAACTATAAACTTTTAATTGTTAACTTTACTTACGTTAACTTCTTAAAGACCGAGTAATGATATTTCCATATACATGCCTGGGCTGTGTTTTTTAAAAGATTTTGGGATTATTAGATGTTTAGTAGAAAAACATATTATTATTTTATATACAATTTGAGTTATGGTATTTTGTAATTATTATTTTTTTAAAAATTATATAATCATATAATTTTTGGTCTTTTTTTTTGACCGGACCATGGTCGCATATACGCGACTGTGGCCCGGCGGCGGAACTAGGCCTACGTCGCGTATTCGCAACCGTGGACTTTAAGAGGTTAACAATTTATTGCAATGAACTTTACTTTTTCATAATTATTAATTTAACACAATTGAGGTATAATAATTAAATTACTTTTTATTAATTTTGATTTAAAAAGATTGTAGATCACTTTTAACCTTGAATTTGCCTGTCCAAATAGGCCTCGGTCCCATGGGTGAAACGTATTCAGCAAAGAGCTGAGCTACCGCACAAGAGTGATCTGTACTGATGAGATTTAGTAATGGGCACCAGGATCCGAACCCACGACATCACTGTTATAATTTTGAAATCTGTCCTGTTACCGACTGAGCCACTGACTCACTAACTAGGTTCTTTATACTAATTAGTGGTGAATTCAACCCAATACCCTTAATTCTTACAACATGAACATAGCCAATACCGACAATTATAAAGGACTAATGTAAAACGAACAGATTAACTAAAATAAAGTTGATCGAGGTTTATCTATTGAACATAGTTCTGAAGTAGGCCAACTGAGAAAGATTTCAAACAAGCCTAGTATGGGTTAATTTTAGGGATGGACGAGATTGGATTTTTAGTTCGAGACGAGACGAGACGAGATTTTTTATTTCTCATAAAATTTCGAGACGAGATCGAGACGAGATTTCTCTTCTCATACACAACGGGAAATGCACGTTCGAAATTTTTACCTGATTTTGTAACATTGTTAGATGACTGTTTAAATACTAAAATAATGATAATAGGCAAGAATATTTACAATCTTTCATTAAATAACATCAGCATAACATTTTTTTATTAATCACGCCTAACTTATTAAAAATGCCTACGATTAGGAAACATGGTGATATCAGTTAGGATAGAGTTCAACTTGTCCTAAAATAAAATAAATCATAAAATAAAAGCAATATTAATTTTTATAAAATAGTTACTTGTTTTGACTTTTTTTATAGTAATAAAACATTCCTCACACTGCTTACACTTAACAAAACTTCTCAAATGTTATTAAAGTAATATTATTAAAATAATGAAAGTAATATTTACATTAAAAGAATTAAAGTAATATTTACATTAAAAGAATTAATTAAATAAGAACGCCTTCGAAAAGGAAACGCAACTACAACACGCTCCTGTATTGCGGGTATTGCATTGACTTTCTGGAGGCGTTTTTAATTTTTTTTTTTTTTTTTTTTTTTTAATTCTCGTCTCGATAAAAATCTCGGAAAAAAAGTTATCTCGTCTCGGGTAACGAGATAGAAAATTTCCCGAAAATTTCCCGAAATTTCGAGACTTGACCATCCCTAGTTAATTTTGTGAACTCTACATGTAATTTTTTTTCATCTAGTACTAATCAGTTATACAAATAACATTATTGGCCTACAGCTTTTCCTTTAAACAAAACAAAGTTGGTTGTAGGTCAATTTTAAACTAAAAAGAGAATATACTTACTTGGTCTTCAGATACGATCTCTTTGCTTCCTCACTGAAAAATAGTTATAAAAAATGATTAGGATTGAGTGGAAAGGGCTTATTGCCTGAGAATTAAGGATACAAAGGATAGGATACGCAGGCTTACCTTTATAAATGTAGGCATCCCACTTCACTACAGTAAGACAGAAGAAAACACAAAATAAATACTGAATATTTTGAGGCCACTGGCCCCTTTCTCAACATTGAGAAACATTAGATACTTGAAGTCTTTCACTGGTAAAGGAAGCAATGTTGCCAACACACTATGAATTTACAAATGAATATTTACAAGTTAATTGAGTCATTGATTATTATTTACACTTAGCCTAAGCATGGTGTCTACTAAACCTGGTTTGAAAAATTCAAGGAGTTTTCCAGGAGAATTCAAGACAAATTCCTGAATTTTAAGAGCTACTATCGGAACCCGTTCAACTAATCGCAACCCGCTAATAATAATTTATTATTACTATTAATGATTATTTTAATTTAAAACAAAACTTTTACAAAGAAAAATATTTTATACAACATAATATAACAGTATAACTAGTAGGTAAGGCGACACCAGCTATCATCTCCCGCGATTGCGGCAATAACCGTGAGCATATCCTGCGGTTTCGGCAACACCGATAATCGTCTCCCGCGATCGCGGCAATACCCGTGAGCATATCCTGCGGTTTCGGCAACACCGATAATCGTCTCCCGCGATCGCGGTTATACCCGTGAGCATATCCTGCGGTTTCGGCGACAACGGTAATCGTCTCCCGCGACCGCGGCAATACCCGTGAGCATATCCTGCGGTTTCGGCAACACCGATAATCTTCTCCCGCGATCGCGGTTATACCCGTGAGCATATCCTGCGGTTTCGGCGACAACGGTAATCGTCTCCCGCGATCGCGGCAATACCCGTGAGCATATCCTGCGGTTTCGGCAACACCGATAATCGTCTCCCGCGATCGCGGTTATACCCGTGAGCATATCCTGCGGTTTCGGCAACACCGATAACCGTCTCCCGCGATCGCGGCAATACCCGTGAGCATATCCTGCGGTTTCGGCAACACCGATAATCTTCTCCCGCGATCGCGGCAATACCCGTGAGTATATCCTGCGGTTTCGGCAACACCGATAATCGTCTCCCGCGATCGCGGCAACACCCGTGAGCATATCCTGCGGTTTCGGCAACACCGATAATCGTCTCCCGAGATCGCGGCAATACTCGTGAGCATATACTGCGGTTTCGGCGACACCGATAATCGTCTCCCGCGATCGCGGCAATACCCGTGAGTATATCCTGCGGTTTCGGCAACACCGATAATCGTCTCCCGAGATCGCGGCAATACCCGTGAGCATATCCTGCGGTTTCGGCAACACCGATAATCGTCCCCCACGATCGCGGCAACACCCGTGAGCATATCCTGCGGTTTCGGCAACACCGATAATCGTCTCCCGCGATCGCGGCAACACCCGTGAGCATATCCTGCGGTTTCGGCAACACCGATAATCGTCTCCCGAGATCGCCGCAATACCCGTGAGCATATCCTGCGGTTTCGGCGACACCGATAATCGTCTCCCGCGATCGCGGCAATACCCGTGAGCATATCCTGCGGTTTCGGCAACACCGATAATCGTCTCCCGAGATCGCCGCAATACCCGTGAGCATATCCTGCGGTTTCGGCGACACCGATAATCGTCTCCCGCGATCGCGGCAATACCCGTGAGTATATCCTGCGGTTTCGGCAACACCGATAATCGTCTCCCGCGATCGCGGCAAAACCCGTGAGCATATCTTGCGGTTTCGGTGACACCGCAATCGTCTCCCGCGATTTCGGCAACAAAAGCGGTAGTGTTTGGTTAGCCGACGATTCCGATGACCGGGCTGTGGATTCCCGGAGGTTTGGGTGGATTCCTGGAGTTTTCCAGGACATTTCAAGGTAAGATAAAATTCCCGGAGTTCTCCCGGTTTTCCCGAATTTCCCGGAGAGTAGACACCATGCTAAGCCTGCTTTTTGATGTGGAAAGGGAAAAGAAAAATGTTATGCCTATCTGAGATTGTGGTTTGGGGGCTCCCTGGATTTTGTAAACCATTGATAAGAAAGTTCCCATCTCCTTAGTTGTGATGGGTTACCGGTGGGAGGGAAAGATCTTATTATTTTGGAATTAAAACAGCTGTTTTAAATCTGCAACTTCTCTCGAATAATTAAAAAAAAAAACGGTTATTCAAGTTTTTATGTTACAAATGTAGTATAGTATTTGATGATAAGGCCCTAATAAAAAAGATACATTATAAGTGTTAAACAACGAACCAAATAAATAGATAATAACCTTAAGCGCACAGGGCTTATTCCAAAAGCCAATAGTGATTTGGAGGGGCAGTAGGTGTCGCAGGATCGAACCAGTTGTCTAGATGATAGTCCAGGTTGGTCCAGCTCAGAGTGGGAGGTTGGTGAAAGGGTCAAGTTTGATGAAGATGGTGCATCAATGTTCGGTGTGGAATTGTTACCATCACCTTCGCTGGTAGACCTAGGTACAAAGTAGGAAATTACATTTAAAAACACATTTTTGACTACTTGCCAATGAAATTATATTATAGCAACTAAGGAACTGTGAGGATCTTTTATTTAAATTCCAATGATCAAGGACAGCTGGGCCCGGTTTCGAACCACCAAAAAGCTACTGACTTTCCTCAGGATCAAACCTTTTGACCATCAAAGCTCTATAATCATTCAGATACCGGTACCCAGTTCTATTATTGCATTAGACTTATTTTTTTACTACTTACAAATACAACAAGAAATCTCATTATAATTTTCAAATGAAACAATCAGCAGGTTGTAAGGGTTTTCACTTTAGGGCTGATTTTTTTCTCCTTAGTGGTGAGCAGTGTATGCTGAACCAAAGGGTTGGGTCCGTGTCCTAAGCTGGGGATTAATCACCGACCGGTCCTTGATCATTACCGCTTGGCTGAGTTCACATTAAAAGAGACTGGGTGAGCCCAATAACGACCAATTTTCTGTAATATTAAAATACAAAAAAAGGCAAAGCAATACTGAGGTGAATATAAAAATCCCTGTGATTTTGATAACAAATTTCATGCAAATTGGTTAACAGTGTTCAAAACGGTCAAATCCGTAAATGTGAATAAAATGTGTAAATGTAAATGTTTTTCATGAAATTGGTTATGAAATCAGGAGACACCAAAATAGGACTATCACAGGGTAATTTGTTTTATATGTAATAAAAAAAAAGTACTTGTTGCTATTTGGCATCTTAGCCTTCTGAAGTGTGAACTTAGTCAAGCATAAATAAAGGACTAGCCGCTGTATCAGTGCACAATACCTGGCTTAGGCCGCAGACCCAACCCTCTGGTTCAGCATAGGCTGTACATCACTATAGAAAAAATATCAGTCCTAAAGTGAAATCTTTTAGGACCTGCTGATTGTTATTTGAAAAATAAATCAGTTATTTTTCTTGTTCAATTTGTAAGCAGTCAAAAAATGCCTGATGCAATAATAGAACTACTGTCGGTGCAAAAATTATGTAGACTCGAGTTTACGATATCACACCTCCGGACGGCTTGTTCAATTTTGACGAGACCTATCAAATTAAAGGAAATATTGTCAAATTTTATATTCCAGCGATTTTTGACATTTAACATCACTTTATCTAATTTTTATAGCGAAAAAGTGGAAAAAATCGGGGTTTTTTCACCATTGTCGATGCAATCTCAACTTCAGACAATTATTACCAAAAAACTATTTACCGTATGAGCTTCAAATTTTAATGGTATATATAAGGGTTATTTATAAACATTTTTGTAAAGTTTCATAATTTTTACATAATTATTATTCATGTTCTTGTAAATTTTGTAAACCCTTGTTAACTTTGTCAACTTAGGTCGAAAATTCCCGTTCAAAGCACCGTTGTAACTATTAATTGTTCGTATGAACAAAAAATATAGTTTGTAAATAATAAAAATTAATAGTGTTCTATAATGGGTTTACATTTGTTAACCGTTTTTAGTCCAGCGCGCGGGGATTGATTTGTCTGAACTTGTCTGCGGAAGGCTCGCTTTCTCCCTGGCGAGGAATGCGGTGTTGCCAGTTTGGTCATAACTCATGCCACCCTTCTTGTAAATATGAGTAAGCATACGACACCACAACAAACTATTGTTATTTAGTTATTTAGTCATTCCAGTTTCGAACTGCGAGTTGTACACGTCCTTGAAAATGCCTCCACGTCGAAAGTTTTCTGAGTGCGAAATTCAAATGATCGTTAGTGCGATATGTTTTTTTTCGGTCAGAAAAGGAACGGAGTGGGGACAAGCGTTACCCGGTGTATGCTAATGTGGCAAATTGCTTAGGAATTGGTTTAAGTACTGTTAAACAAAACGCTTCGGAATATGAAGAAAATGTGTCAGAAAATACTCCACCATCAAAGAAGAAACGTGTTTCAGCAGGCGAGGCAGGACGCCCGAAAATTGAAATCGACCAGTTTACGCAGGGTCTCATCCGCAGGTACTTAATTATTTATAATTAATACTGTTTCTATGAAAAATTATGAAGCTGCTTGGTCTAATCAATAACACAATTTACCCAAACAAAGCTATGCGTGTGTATTAATTATTTATTTATTTTTCTTGCGGGACTTCTTCAATGATAGCCTTTACCAAATTATTTTTTTACAAAATTGTATGCTAAATGCAAGTAGGCAGGTTATTAGGAACATTATTACATGGAAAAATAGATTTCATTATAACTTATACAACACTCCGCTTTGAAAGCTTTTCAACATTGCCTACAAATAGAAAATGTTTGCAATAATTTAACTACAAAATGGGATTCGTCACTATAGTTAAAATATAAAGTAACTCTGTAATTATTATATTACAACCACCATTTCTAAACAATACTTATTTATTTCGCAGGTATATGCACGAGTTTTATATTAACAAGCTTTATCCAACAATTGCAAAACTCCACCAAAAGATTGAAGAAAGTTTGCCTGATTTTCCCACTATGTCAAAATCAACATTACGTAATATTGTTAAGAACATTGGATTTAGATTTAAAAAATTAAACAAGAAACCTGTATTGATGGAATCCACAACTGTAGCTGCAACACGACATGCATATTTGAGAAAAGTTCGTAAACTTCAAAGTGAAGGGTATTCGATTTTTTATACTGACGAAGCGGTCAGAACCACACAGTTCGATATGCCTGGCAAGAAAATGTTATGAATGCGCTGAATCAAAATTACACCAATTATGATGAATACCGTAGGACTCTTCAAGAAGTAGGTGGGTGGAGAGGAGGATTCAAAACTCCTTCTGGTGCGGGGAAGAGAGTGATTATTCTTCATATAGGAAATGAAGATGGATTTTTAAATGGGGGCGAGCTTTGTTTTGTTGGGAAGAAGGGGACTTCAGACTACCACAATGAAATGAATTCAGAGCACTATCAGGAATGGTTTAAGCGAATTTTGGAAATAATCCCTGAAAAGTCGGCAATAGTTATTGATCAGGCTCCATATCATGCCATGGTCGACCCAAAAACAAAAAATCCTACTATGAAGTGGTTAAAGAAGGACATTATAGAGTGGATGAAGCGAAATAATACAGGATTACCAACTGATGCTTCAAGTTTTGAGGAATTAACGAAACAAGTACTACTACATCATGCGAGACCTTTCTTCCAGGTACCACAGAAAATATTGGAGCAACTAGTCACAAGTAAACGTCCTGATGTGAAACTAATCTGGTTACCAGTAGCTCATTGCGAGTTAAACGCCATTGAACTCATATGGGCGTATGTGAAAAACAACATTGCCAAAATCAATAGGAGAAATGCTGATGAAAAAGGAAATAGCATCGAGGTCACAAGGGATTTATGTAAAGAAGTTTTAAGTACAGTATCCTGGGGTTTGTGGAAGAAATGCATAGATCATGCGAAAAAAATTGAAGATGGTTTTTGGGAAAAAGATCACCTCTTTGACGAGTTACCAATTGTAGAACCAGTGATTGCTAATCTGCAGGATGACTCATCTGACAGTGATTCAGAATTGAATATTGATGACGGAATATCTGATGTGGAGGATTAACAACTAAGGGAAAAACATAAATCTGTATATATTTATATAAAATAGTAAAACACCAAAAAAATTAAAAAGCTAAAAAGTAAAAAAAAAAACATTTTTAAAGCTGCCATTGGAGGTCCAAAGCCCTCATGAGAAAAGCTGATGGGAAATGTTTGAATATTTTTGAGCGAGGATCTGTGTTTAAATGCACAAACTGGCAACACCGCATTCCTCGCCACGGAGAAAGCGAGCCTTCCGCAGACAAGTTCAGACAAATCAATCCCCGCGCGCGGGACTAAAAACGGTTAACAAATGTAAACCCATTATAGAACACTATTAATTTTTATTATTTACAAACTATATTTTTTGTTCATACGAACAATTAATAGTTACAACGGTGCTTTGAACGGGAATTTTCGACCTAAGTTGACAAAGTTAACAAGGGTTTACAAAATTTACAAGAACATGAATAATAATTATGTAAAAATTATGAAACTTTACAAAAATGTTTATAAATAACCCTTATATATACCATTAAAATTTGAAGCTCATACGGTAAATAGTTTTTTGGTAATAATTGTCTGAAGTTGAGATTGCATCGACAATGGTGAAAAAACCCCGATTTTTTCCACTTTTTCTCTATAAAAATTAGATAAAGTGATGTTAAATGTCAAAAATCGCTGGAATATAAAATTTGACAATATTTGCTTTAATTTGATAGGTCTCTTGTCAAAATTGAACAAGCCGTTCCGGAGGTGTGATATCGTAAACTCGAGTCTACATAATTTTTGCACCGACAGTAGGTATCAATTCAAATCTGACAGTCAAATGATCACCGATTTGATCCAGAGGAAAGTCAATATCTTTTTGGTGGTTCGAAACAGGGCCCAGCTGTCATTGATTATTGGGGGTTTAAAAAAGATCCTGATCTGAGAAACAGCTGATCTTAATGTCTAACATAGCTACATAGTCATCTCAATCCATTCTGTACTCACCCTTAATATCACAAGTAGCAATGGAAATAATTAATGAGCTATTAAACTATTGTTAACTAATTTATTTATCAAAATACCCCCGCCGCAGCAAACCTGACGCCTAAGCGAATTTCCATTTGGCTGAATTGATTTTCAATTGATCTATTTAAATAACATTAGGTTTAACGAGTACCTAGGTTTGCTGCTACAAGGAAACTAATAAAGTGTGTGTTTTAAGTAAAACAATTATTGCTTAGTATAAAATGAATATATTTGCCAAGTTTGATCAAAAGATATCCATAAACAAGCAAACTACAACATTTTACAATATTCTCCATAAGAATAACATGGGAATTTTAAATTTACCATTTTTTTAGTTTTCTCCGTAACCAATAACCGTACAAAAACACTTTGATATACTGAATTGTTTGTTTTTTTAATCTCTTTAAGAAGGTTTAGAGAAAAATTGGGAAATTTTGTGTTTTGAGGGTCAAAAGTGAGAAAAACCAATTTTTACCCCATAAAACCCCCCATAAAACCCTGTTCCCATGGTCCGATCATGCTGGATCGCGAACTCATTCAAGTTTATCCCGCCTTACACCTTCAAACCAAATTTCATCAAAATTGGATAAAAATTACTCAAGTTATCGTGTTCACGGACACATATATATATATATATATATATATATATATATATATATATATACATATATAAAAATTTGAACGAGTGGTGTTTTTGGCCTCTGGGGACATCAAAATGAAAAAGTAAATCGGTCCCGGGCCTAAGTCTTACCATGAGACCTACGGTAATAGCTACTTCCCTATAGGGAAATTCGCTAAAACCACACCACTAGCATTACAAACTATTGTTACTTTTTCAGCACTAGCAAACAGCTGTGACTGTTTAACTTACAATTTAAGTTTTGCTTGGTAATAAAGAAAATTAATGTATAGGGAATGTACAGTCGAACCTCTATGGAACGAAGTTCAAGGTGTAGGGGAAACACTTTTAATAAGGAGGTTTGTTTTATCAAGGTACTGCCGTTATTCGTCTTACAGAAATTTCTCCTCGCTGCCAAACAATAAATGAGGAATGAAGGGGATGGGCGTGGGTTTCATGTTGAGAAAAGCTTCTGTTTGTTTTGTTTGTATGTACTATGGAGGTTAAGATCATGAGAAATTCATTTTATAGAGGTCGCATTCGTCTTGTAGAGGTTTTGGGCTAAGAATATTCGTTGTTAATCAGTCCTAACCCATGTCACAAACAATTCATTTTCTGGAGGTTTTTAAGTTAATTACTATGTTGTATAGAGGTGTTTGTAGCATTGACCTTTATGAAAGTTTCAAGGGGATTTAAAAAGATCGTCTTATCAACGAATTTGTTTTACCAAGGTTTGTATGTGGAATTTTGATAAACTTGAATAAATTGGCTAAGGTAAATATTGGAATTGTACACGCAAAACAAAATGTGTTCTAATAATGACTAAGATTAGCTAAGACTAAAAATGGTTTTACTGGTGAAAAAGGAATAGGAAACCTGATATGGATTGTCTGAAAATAATGTGTTCTATACTACATTTCACATTTTGGTGAATTAGTCAAATTTGGCGATATATTTTCAAAGGAGTGGCAAGACATTTTTGCTGTTATTCTATCTTTGACATGATATTGTTGTTTATAAAAAAATATTTATGATTAATAAATAAAGATAGCCTAGTTATAAACATAAGATAAAACACTCACATAGACACGTTTGTGCTAGAAATCCTCTCTTGGTCTGGAGTGGATTCTGAAAAAATACAAGTGCTTTTGAGCTATTTTAAAATTCACAATTATCACTAGGATTTTAACCGTCCCAACATTATCATTTGGTGCACTAGTCACCATTATACAGGGTGACAATTAAGTCTAAGGACGACTTTATAACTGTAAAACAAAAAGAGATATAAAAAAAAAAATTGGCATATTATCATTACTGGTAATAGTAAGATCGGTTGTCACTATTTGTGTAACATGGTGTTCCTGAACAACTATTTGTGTGATTAATTTTCCTGAACAACTATATGTGTAATGTAGTGTTCCTGATCAACTATTTGTGTAACGTAGTTATCCTGAACAACTATTTGTGTAATTGATTTTATTGAACCAACTATATGTGTAACATAGTGTTCCTGGACAACTATTTGTGTAATTAATTTTCCTGAACAACAATATGTGTAATGTAGTGTTCCTGAACAACTATTTGTGAGGAGTCCGTGGTAGAGCTAGATGGGAGAAGCCCTGAACTAAACAGTGAACGACCCCGGCTGAAAGTTGAAGGAATGGGTGATTTTTTGTGAGTGGCACCCCAAAACTGTCAAAGCTTTTTAGACCTTTTTTCAATATCAGACTACTTGTTTTTCAAAATGGTTTTTTATAATTTAATTCAAATGTCTAGTTTGATAATGTTGACTATTTCCCTTTAGACCTGAAGAGAGATAAATTTGAGGTGTTGTAACTTTTACTAAGGCAAGTCAGGACATTCCTCAAATGTTCTTACCTGACAAATCTTGGTAGCCATAACTTGTGCGGCCCCGTTTCCGCTTGACTCTAAGTGGTCGTCTGCATGCCCATCGATCAGCAATGGTGACAGTTGAATCAGGACTGTCAGAGCTGGAATTGATTTCTACCACATCGACTTTATTTGACTCGGTCTGCACCTTTAAATGAGTACAAATATTATATTAACTGATGTAGCGACCTCACAAAAGTGATGTTTCTTTATCAATTAGTCATGAGAGTAATGAAAGCTTTTGATATCCCAACATAATTTTTTGTCCAAAGGTTTTATCTGAGAATATGAGTTGGCAGAAGTGTGTACAAACATGTATAAATCCAACATTAAAAAGACAGCAAGCGTTTGAATTATTTTCAAACTATAGAAAACACTGATTGTTACCAATTTTGCAACAAGTATATTTTAAAGAAGGTTTAGAGGACAATTAACTTGAGCTCTGATATGAATACTGTAGTACAGACTAATAGATATGATATTTAACAAAAACTAAGAATAATTTACTAAGTTACTGTTTTTTAAGACCTCAAGGATTATTCATTTTATTGAGTAAAGAAACTTGCTAAATGTAAAAAAATTACATAGCTAAGGGTACACTAAAGTCTTACTTAATTTTAACCACAGTTCGGGTTATGAAATTGTTCATTAGGATTAACTAAGAATGTATTGTTTGTAGTTGGAAATGGCCATTCTCCTACAAGCATTCCTAGGAGCCCTAGGTAGGTTTTATATGACAATAACAATATTATAGAGCCCGGATCACGAGAATTGGGTCTACTGTACTGTGTTGAGGGTGTACAATGCTGTTGGCAAGTGGTTTTGGTCTGGATTGTACCTCTATTCTTCTCATTATACCAAAAGCTGATTACTGAATTCTTATGTTCTCAAAATATATTACTACGGTGTGTAATCGACAGTGTTCAGTATGAAACATGCAGCTTTCCAATTGCTTTTACAGGGTAAAACCAAAACCAAAGTTTTGCACTGATGAATGTAGCTAATTGAGTTCTTAAAACATAAGCGGGTATGATTCCTGTGCAAGTGCAAACCATATTGAGCTTACTAATGGGTGGCTTAGCTAGTGGGAGGGCCCACCTTAACACTTTTACTGAAACCCCAGTCTGACAGTTCCACGGGAATTTTTACAAACGCATGTTGGCAACACTGTTTTCCCCCCAAATACCTTCCACCCTTTTCCTCCCCTACCTGTTGATATATTGTTTTTCATTTTGCGTGGGTGTCGTGACCTTGACAGGTTGTCTGTTCATAACATGCCCATCTCACGAGCGTTAGTGTATTTTAACGGGGTCTTACAGGCCCAAGGTTTCGGTTTGTGTGTTAAATAAATGGTGTCAGGTTTCAGTGGGAGTTGAAGGCATTGAGTTAATACTGGGAAAAGTCTTGAAAACCAAATTAAAACCCTTCCTTCTTAAAAGTGTTTGTACTACTCTTTGGAAGAGTTTTAAATGATTAAAATAACAATAAATTGACAACCACAGCACATCAGTGCTTCCAGTGGGAGACGTTCAAGTAACATGTAACAAGTTCCACACAATATCAGTTTTGCTTCTTTTTACACTAGTATAAGAGGGGATGCTGAAATTGTTTTTTTATTCTTATTTTGGTTAAATATGGACATATGGAGTTGAAATACATATGTCATAAGATACATTAACATACCAACCATAACCTAAAAAAGGACATTAACAAATAAATCATAAAAATTCCCACATCAAAGGGAAAAAAGGTATTTCAAAACCCGTAGAAGCATTGTTTTGAACTAAAATACAGTATATTTCCCCACAACATGTGTTTTGGATAAGGGAGAAATAAATGGTAGACTTACTCTGTGAATGAGATCAACTGTTTGAGTCCCAGGCCAGCAGATTACGCTTGCGTTTGATTCAGCGTCAGACAAGACCGGACCGGACAATGTCTCTGCTCTCTATAAGAACAATAAAACATTTATCATAACAAAATCAATGTATAATAACATTAGTGTCCAATTATATCTGTACCGTACTATCTGCACTGTATCCAACATGGTGAAATATTTACTGTCAGAACCCTACAATTAAGTGAATTGTTTATATAGTCATCAGAGTTATGCTATGTTTTTATAAACCAAAACCATTTTCAAACCATATGTATGTACAATTATAATTCTATTATTAGAAATACTGTTAGTATCTGAACATTTCTTTCTCACCTAGATAGTAACGCTGACTTTTTATCAATCCTACCACATCATCGAGAAAGTCAAAATAAAATTTAAAGCTGTAATAGTTAACACGTGATATTTAATTGATATATCATTGGAATAGTTTGGTTACTTATAGCCTAACTTAAGGTACGTTTTGCTTGGAGCGACAGTCGCGGGACACTGATCTTAGGGGTTTTGCATAGTCCTGTTTTGCTTGGAGCTACTGTCGCTTGGTACTGCTCCAAGACCAGTCAGGAGCGACAGTCGCTTAGCGACAGTTACATTTCTGATTGTTTTTATAGTGTATAACATTTTGACAAGTTCAACGACCTTTTATTTGCGCCATATGGCGTCGTCGGCTACCCGGACAACGCCTGGGATTAAGTTAAATTTTAGTGGTGAGGAAAACGACAGTTTATTAAAAGTAGTGGCAAAACACCCTGCGCTTTATGATTTAAAACATATCTCCTACAAAGAATAAAGGACAACGTCTGGTTGGCAATAGCTGGTTAAGTCGGAAGATCAGGTTAGTTTAATATTATGTTATATTACAAGTTATTTTAATATAGGTATTTTTTTCATCTACAATACAATCAACAAAATATAATTTTCACTCTGTGAGGAGGTTGTTTATAACACTGATTTCCAATTCAAGTTATGCTTGTGTAATACAATTTATGGAGAAATTGAGTAATTTTATTACATTTTGGCTTGTGACATGGCAGTTTTGGAATGTTTCTCATAACAAATAACTAGGCCTATAAAGAATACTTTATTGTTAAATTTTACCTGTTTTACTAAGTGAATTTATCAAATTTATTTAGTGACTTTATACTTAGTGTGCACTTTTGAGGTTAGGTGCACTGACGGTACCACGTCTCGTGACGCCAGGAAGATGTTGTCGCTACAAGCAAAACAGTCTACCACCCCGCGACTGCCAGCGACTGTCGCTCCAAGCAAAACGTACCTTTATGGAGTAGATTTGGGATTTTTTAACAGTTTTGGTATAAATATTTCGGCCGAATGTGACCCAAATATCTATACCATAAATGTGGAAAAATATGTAATTTTGTTGAGAGGGGTTATGATCCCCTCAACTATGCTGATGTTGATGGATTTTTTTGTCTATATTAGCCAACAAGGCTGTTGGTTAAGTAAAGAATCAATTACAATTTTTTTTTTTTTTTTTAAAGAAAAGCAGAGATTCAGTTGTTTGACATGTTAAGGCATATATTTAAAATATACCGGTATCATCTTTACTTGTATGTATTTTTTCTTGATGAAAACTTTGGATAAATTTATTTTGTTAAAATAAATGTAAAAAAAACATACCTTATAAAAACAAAATGTACTGTACCTTTTCAGCCATTTGTTTTATTTCAGGGAGATCCAACAAAACTGCCGCAGATGGTCTTTGGCGATGGTCTTTGGTTATCATCTTAATCATGATGTTGATGAAAACAACAGAAAGCTCTGAAACAAATCAACATTTACTTAATTCCATGAAACAATCAAAATCCAAGCCAAAATATTATAATTTATTGAAATGTTTAGTCTGCAAGTTTATCAGTAAAGCTCTGTACTAGATATGTTTGTAGATCATTGGTAGATGTAGTGTTCCTAAAATTGTTGGAAAACTGTAAGTATCAACATTTTCTGTTTCTGCTGGGTAACCTAACTTAATAAAAAAACTTAATGTTTAAACATTCAATCAAATACACATTTAATGATGGAAAAAAATCAATTCCTTAAATAAAAACTATTTAATAAATCATTTTTTTCTACAGGAATGGCAATTATTTATCATGTTTCAATATGGGGATGGTTTGAACCTGGGTTTTGTTACAATCTAACATTGACCCTTTGTTGGAAAGCATAATTAATTGGAAGCCCAAAGAGAAAAGGCATTTGAATCTAAAAATCAATACAGCTTGGGATTGAACCAACAACCCTCAAAGATTTGATGGCAGGCATTATATCCACTCGGCAATAGACAATTATCACCTGTGACAACAATTCCAACTGTTCTCTGTGCGACAGTTTACTGTGTGTTTTCCTAGCTGACGAATGCAGCTGCCAGATTGTGAATGTCGTGTACATGTTCTAGAACCTTCATTTTTGGCAAGGGCATTTTTCTAGAACTGCAATATTCGAATGCAGAGTTGGTTAAAGCGTCAGTTTTTAATTGTATAGTTTCCACAGTTTGCCTCTTTTTAAAACGTACTTCTTGTTTCTTGAAATCTGCATTGACTCGAGGTCCCAGCACGTCAACCAAAGCTAGGCGTACTGCACAATTTTATGACCCACAACTAGTTATAGTTTGACTGTTCATATTTAGAAAAAAAATTAGTTTGATACATTGACAAGAAACCATGAGGAACGGGATGGGGTGTTAATCCAAATTGTTATGCATTTTTCCATTCTCACCTACAAATGGTGTTCTCTTAGGGGTAACTCTGTAGGATCTAAACCCGTTTTTAAATAGCAAAGGTGCATTAGATTAACAAAGCCCAGGGACGATTGCAGAGCAGATTTTAAGGCCTTGAATATCCTAAACCCTTCCATCTTTATACATTTTAAATTGCTTATTACAGTAAAGTCCCGCAAACTCGGCACTCGATAACCTGGCAGTCTGGATAACTCGGCCATCACCTGGCTCAGAAAATTAGTAATTTTTCTAGTCCGAATTAATCATGGACTCAAGCCAGCTTAAGTAAAATTATTCGCAACTGGTACTAAGGATTTGTTGTACCATATCTGATGACTTAATACTGACTTGTAATATAAATATAAATGAAAAATCCGGTTAAAAAGCTTAAAAACTGTATTTTTCTTATTTTTAACCCTTGTTCCTGATAACCCGGCATTTCACAAACTCGGCACCCTTCCAGTCCACATTACGCCGAGTTTGTAGGACTCTACTGTATATGGAAAATAGAATATAGATCAGTATAGTATCCGATCCGACATACATACTCATTACACAAGAAATAGCTATCATCTCATCTTACCACTTACAAGACTTACATTTACGCACAATAGCTACAAATATCTTAGTATACAATTTTTTAATAAACTACCCCCTTCCGCAGTAACAATTCCTATAACAAAAATTCAAAACTATCCTTGATTCATGGTTAAAATTAAAATGTTTTTACTCTGTAGATAAAAGATCCTTGGAGGTTTTAGATACCAGTATGTTTTTAAATAATTTAAGATAAAGATTCCTGTAATGTATACCATGCCTATGTTAAATATTTGTTTGTTTTGATTTAACAATAAGATGCCATTTTATATGATACCTACTGTTATATTACCTACTATATTATTTTTGACAATGTCAATTGCCTTTGCAGCTGAAAGACAATAAAGATTTTGATTTTTTGGTAAATGACAAGAAAAAATGTTTGATCAAAATTAATTGACTTAGTTTCAAATTAAACTTATTTCAGTTTTTCCTTCAGCACTTAACGTAACTGAAATAAAATCATTAAATCAAATATAATTGTTAACACAAAGTCACTGTCACAAATTAGAACCGTTAGAATTCACTACTGCATGATAAACTATAAAAAATTATCCAGAAGCACGTCTATGTTGCTGCGAGATACAGTCTCTGCCGAATTAGAAAAAGCCTGTGCCTGACTCTTCTGTATTGAGTTGGTACTGAAAAAGGGGTAGCGGAATTCTATCGACGGAAATTTACCCCATGAAAAAACGCCTACATCATTTTGACGGGCAATACACACGGTCGAGGAACAGCCTGCGACTGGAAATTTACCCCCAATAACTTATATTATTAAATAATCAACATGTAATTATTTGCTTATAAAGTGATCTGCCATACCACGGAATTTTACCCCTGGAATCCTATCCCACGAAATCTACCCCCCGTGGTCGGATACGCTACGTCTGGATCAAGATTCATTGTTGTAGTTGATTTTATTAATTGGTTTATGGAAATAAACGGCTCTTCGGTCAATCATTACCTTCTAATATCCAGTATTGGGTTAGGTTAGGTTACCAATTAATAAAATAAACTACAATAATAAATCTTGGCCGATACGTAGCGTAGCCGACCACGGGGGTAGATTTCTGGGGGTAGAAACCCAGGGTCAGATATTTCTGATTTGACCACTGGGGGTAGATTTCCGTGGGTAGATATCCGGGGGTAAAATTCTGCTGTCAGTTTTATTGGAATTTTGATTAATTACAACTGTTAAGCAAACCGTGAAATGTGACTTGATCGAAATAAATGATAATTTAATTTATCCGTCCTAAAAGTTTGCGGGCAGAAATCTAACCCCAGACCTGTGACGTCAAAATTATAGGCATTTTTTCATGGGAGTAAATTTCCGGGGGTAGAATTCCGGCGACCCCTGAAAAACACAGCTGTATTCGGCAACTTAGAAAACCTGCATTTAGTCGAACAATACTGTCAGTACTCAATAATGAGTAGTTGCAATTACTACAGCTGTTTCCTACTCATAAGTATATCATCAGGTCGCAAAAGGTCAAGTTGCGTATTACAATCTCAACTTCAGTAGATTTACACACCAACAATAGTAAATCTATGGTTGGTTTATTTAAACAATACAGAGGGTTTTTCAGAGTGTCTAGAAAAGTAAAAGAGTAGACTAGACCAGTGTTTCCCAACCTGTGGTACGAGGTTATGTTTTAAGTACAAGTATAATACATCAGAGTTTATTGGGCTGGTGCATAAGCATTAGTTCACGATCCATTGGAATCTGTATCGTCAAAATGACAATGGATGTAATTAGTACATTATTTTAACATATAGTCAAAAAATTAGTTACTGACAATATAGCTAATTACACCCAAGAGAAGGACTTCTGGAATCTAGTAATCTCAACGTGGAAAAGCAAAATATTGACTTTTTCCTTTGTGTTTTCTTTGGTGTTGCTTTTGTGAAGTGGGGTGCCTGCAATTTTTTAAGGTAAGCCTGCTTATCCTATGTCTCCTTAATTCTCAGGTAATTACCCCTTTCTAATCAAACCTGCACCCAAGTAATATAAGTGAAATTAAAAGTTAAAACTCATATGCCAGTTGCTCAGTACTTCAGTTAGGTGCAGCCTTCACCAATTGTGAAAATATCAAACTTTCAGGAAATCTCGGCCCAGATTCAAATACAGTATGATTAATACCCCTTGAATTAATCTTGGACTACATATTTTCAAATTGGATTCTAATCTTCAAGCTCAGTCTTTTCCTTTAAGTTTTTTTATTTCCACAACATATGGTTTGGATTTCTTATTCATATCAGTTAATAACATATTATAACACTGCACAGTTTCATTTTTCACTTCCTAAGTTACTTATGGTTAGAAAATCGTTTCTTAGATTTGCAGTATTCAATAAATAATAAACTTATTCCAAGTGGTACACTGAATATTTTTGTCTCGTGAAGTGGTACACTAAGACAAAAGGTTGGGGAGCCTTAGAGAAGACTGTTCCATCATGACTATAGAGCACATGCTTACCTGCAGTTTCTGCGTACGGGATTAATTCTCCACGAAGTCCTTCCCACACTGGTCCATACTTAGGGAGAGCTGTATTACTGGCCATCTCTAGAATAGAGATGCCCAGACTAAAGATGTCAGCCTTGCTAGTGAAATTTCCAATCCCACCTTGCACTAGCTCTGGAGCAACGTACTTGGCATCTCCTTCTTTGTGGATTTCATCTTCCTGTAAAATATAAATTGCTGGTTAGTCAACCTTTTAAAAATGTTCACCTGTTGGAAGAAGGCATTACATAAAATCTTAAAAGAGGCTTTTTGATTTACACTAATTTGTTAAGAAACTGAAGCTTTTGTTTAAAAACATCACTTGTGATTCTTTGCAACAAACATTTTTAACTTTTTGTGAGATGAAAGATTACTGAAAAATCCTGTATGTAATACTGTAGAGTAAACCTAATACTGAAGAGTTGACTGTTCACTATTAGAGGTTGAGGTACTCCAGTGACTTTGAATCAACTGGTAACCACTGTTTCTTTAAAATGACACAAGCTATGTTAGGAATATGATAAATTAAATATTCAACAGTTCTGAAGAAACTTATAGTCTAAGGGAGAAGGCTTTAATTATTATTTCTGAGGTAAAATGAACAGTTTTCTCAATCCAAATTTTATTTGATTTAGGCCTATCTCTTTTTTAGAGCAGTGTAAAGAGACAAATACCTAAAAAAAACTGACTGTTGACAGTAGAGTCTCGTTTATTCAACTGAAACTGGCTGCGGCAAGGTCAGATAAGCAGAAAGGTTGTACATGGAAAATAATGAAAACTATTGTAGAAATGTAAAAACTCATTAAATTAATAAAAAAAATTTCATATCAAAACTAGTGTTGCCACGATCACAGTATCGCCAAGACCAAAAGATATGCTCACGAATATTGCCGGAATCACGAGAGACGATCATCGGTCTACACTATAAAATAATATTCCTAGTTTCTTTAGCCGGGCCGGATGTGGCCGTAGATTGGAGACCTCTACTCTACTGTATTCATACTTTTGCTCCATAAGTTAGGCTATTAGTGACAAAACTACAGTATTCCAATGATGAACAAGCTTAACATAGAGTGTTAAACTTAAATAGGCCTACATAGATATTAACAGGCCTTCAAGCAGGATTCAGGATTAAACTATAAACTGTGCATATAAATTATGGTACTCACATTTTCTAATTTAATCATATTTCCAAAATCCGTCAGTTTGTATAGCCCGTCACATCCCAGAACAATATTGGCAGGCTTTACATCAAAGTGTCCTAACTGGTGTGCGTTAATGTACTTGAGTGCCTAGAAACAAAAAAGACAATATGATAAAAAGCTTTATTTAGAGTTATAAAGTAGATTCTTTCTAAACTAGCCTTGGTTTGTTCAGCCCTAAATGGTTTGATCAGCTTTGGAAGGATGCAATCAAATCAAATTGTCTTTATCTTATATTTGTTCAGGTACATGGAATGCTGTTAACAATCTGAAAGTTACGGTAACCTAAAAAAACAGTCTCTAATAACAATAAAACATTAATTTGACAAATATTCTTCTATCTAGAGTAAATACAGGGAGTGACAACAAAGTAACACAACAAATTATTTTTCTTTCTTAATGTGATCACTAATTAGTTAATTGTAACATTTCCCTTCATAGTATGTTAGTAATTTGATTTGACAATACAAGAATTAATTTTTTCCTTTAGTTTCTGGGCTTAATGTAAACTAAATAAATACCTACTTCAGTTCAGTCAAATGTAGGTTGTCTAAGCTAGGTGGACATACCACACAGTCTCATATCAAATATCCTCAATTCATAAAGTACAGTTTTGTACACTGAATAGCGTCAGTCATTAGTGTACGAGTACCATTTTATGGATTAAACGAATTAATGAAAATACTTTTTTATTGGGGCGAACATTGAACCACGCGGTTGTTTCTTACCATTAACCTCATGAATACTTAATATTAACCAAACAATACATTTTTATAACAAACATGTTTACACTAAAACAAATTAATAACTACAGTAGACTCCCTCTTATCCGGACACCTTTTAACCGGACTACACTCAGCAGAAATTACATCTCTTTAACCGGACAATTTTTATCAACACATTGGTTTAACCGGACTAGATCGGCAGGAAGTGGGCAGTACTGAAACGACTGTTCTCGTGGGAGAGATTTGAGACCAGTGATCACGTGTCTAAATACAATGCTCTCCTAAATTTAAGTCAAATATCATAGTAAACAGTTCGTTTTAACGAGTTTTTGGGGACGTCGGTTTAACCGGAAAACCCGTTATCCGGACCGGCCTCGGTCCCGAGGAGTCCGGATAAGAGAGAGTCTGCTGTATAAACTTATTTGACAAATCATTGTCCCTAACATAAGGATTCCCCTCGTAACATCAGTGACTTTTTTGTGACTGGTAGACACCCTGTTTCTGATCCACCAATCAACTTTATCAATTTGGAACTGAAATTTTGTGTTTGAAAGTGTTAAACTGAATCACACATTCATGCGCTAAAATGTTTTTTCAACCTAAATAATATGGTAAAAAGACTGATAATCACCTGCAAAATATCCACTAATACGAGCCAGCAAGTCGCTTCAGCAAGGGAGGAGTCTAGGTTTAGAGGTTTGCAGAGTTCTTGTAAGGAGAACAAGAACCTATCCTCCTCCCAGGCTTTGAACAGAGTCACTATATTTGGATGGTGCTGGATTTTCCAGTGGTGGTTGATTTCAATAAGTTTGACAGTCCTGTAAAGCAGTACTTTGTTATTCCCAGGTTAAAATATTCTAGCCTAAAGAATATTTGGCTATATGAATATTCATATACGAGTGCCACAGCAGTTATGTTACGCAAGTGGAATAACCCCGTGAAAATGGTGTAACTGTAAATAATAAATAAATAAGTCTGGCCAATATGTCTGTCAGAGGCGGCCCTAGGCTACATAAAGGCAATCAAGGCGGTGCCTGGGAGCTGTATTTCAGGTATTAAGAGAGGCCCGCTATTGAACATCGCCTTGGGCCTTGCAATCTCTAGGGCCGCCATTGAGGTCTGTTGTAAACCTATTTTTAAATCAACAGCTATACTGACAATTATAGATCTGTACGTACATGTAATAGTATGCAACTTGTTTACATTATTTAAAAAGTAATCACAGCGTTCCTCAATCTTGGATTTGATTATATTCCAAGTGAGAAGGTTTATAGAACACAACTTAACAAAATTAGTAGCTTTAACTTTATAGTAGGCAAAACAAGAAACAAAATATCTTGAAAGAAAGCAACAATCAGTACAAATAAAAGGGAGGCGAACAAATTGGAAACTTCAACACAAAATGGTGGGCTCAAACAAGAATCAGATTCTAGATCCTGAAACGTTTTAAAACTGTTTTTTTTTTTTTTTTTACTGACGGTGATGGATCATTAGCAATCACCTAAAACGACTTCAATTAAAAATTCTTGCGTGTAAAACATACTATGAATAAATGTTAAAAATGTTAGTCACACCAATTGCACGAGGAAAAGAACTGTTATGAATGGGCCATACCATTGACTATACACAGAACAGACTTCCCATGTAATGTAAAAATTTGAAGACAAGAAAATAGATGAAGTTCAGGACCATCTCACTAGAGGGTACTAATGTATGGGGTTAAATGTTTATTAAAATTACAGCAAACAGCTGATTGATTCATCAATTGACACAGAATATTGTCATTAGTTGGTAGACCATCTCAACATATTGCATCACGTTTTTTTTTTTTTTGCTTCAAATTTTAACATTACATGGGAAGTATGTTCTATGTACATCAAGTTCAGTGGAGTTTTGCTGGGTTGCAGGAATTCTACCTCTAGGAAGACTATCCCCCCCAGACAGACGCTAGAGTCGATGGTAGTTTTCCAGTCACAAACTCTAAAGTTACATTACATTATTGTATTTTACTATTTTTGTATAGGCCTAGTTTGGTAAAGATTGTAAATATTGTGTTATGCAGCACGTAAAAACAAAGGAAAAGTAGGGTTAAGTAGAGGTTTATGAAGTCTGGCGAAGAGGTTGACTGTAAGCACCCAAATTGCATAGTTATGCACACGCATATGACATACGATATCACAGTGCTGTACTGAACTTCGTTCTCCAAAGAGAGGGTCTGATAAATGAAAATCAAAAAGTCAAATCTCTACTATACAAACTAATATGGATAATTAGAAGGATAATTTAAATGATTATATTTACCTGTCAAACTTATTGCGAAAGGGTTCTTTGGTTATTTTCAGTGCATATGCTAATCCACTTGTGCGATCTGTAACTCTGATTACTTTGGCATACGAGCCTTCTCCCAGCATCTCGCAAGCAGAGTAGCACTGCTCAAAGTAGTTGTCTCGGCTCTTTCCATTGTAAATTAAACTGTACTCTGATTAAGAGCTAAGGAAAGTATATTATTGAACATGGTGGCTAGATATTAAACAGGATAGCCTATTAACCAGAAAACAAAATATAAATAAACAGAGGAATTGCCAGTTTAAAAATAAATTTAATTTAAATCACCTAAACATGAATATTTTCATGTAAGAATTAAATGTAGTTGGGGAATCTTTGTTACACTACCTCACAAAATTAATATTTCTCTATACTTAGTGAAAGTTGGTTGTTTTGCTAGCCTAGTGGTTAGCATCTCGGACTTCGGTGTGCGAGGGACGGGTTCAATCCCCGGCACATCCACAAAACTTTAATGGGTTTGGACCGCTTTCCCTTAAAAGTGTTTGAAATGACTTCATAACAAAAATGCCACTGGCTTAGATACGAGAAAAAAAGGGAAAAGTAATACAATTTATTGATTATCTTATCGGTAGTATTAAAGGTAAAGGCGTAGGTAGTCTTAAAGGATACGAAAACAAGGTGTAAGTGGATTGAACTGCCCATCCAACAATTGATCTGGGTTGCTGAAGTGTTTCCCCTTCACCTTTGGGGGAAATACTATGGCATCTTTTTGTCCGGGTATCTGAAACAGACATTACAATTATGGTCAACATCATCACTTTGAAAATCGCAACCACATTTTGAAGTGGCAAAACTTTGATATCCATCTACATCATATTTACAAAAAATATCAAACTATAAACTAGCTACTGTACTTTTGCTGGATCCATACTACTATGTCAAATTCTCATTTAGTCAAGAGAAGTACCTGTATCATTAGGTCAAAATAATATATCAGCTGTTGCATTGTGTTAAAAGAATCATTCAATCGAAAAGGAAAAGTCAGCCCTAAAAATGTGGCTATGTAAAATGTATTTGATCTAATGCAAATTTGAGATAAAAAACTCACGAAGAATAGGACTGGACATTTTATCGAACAACATATTTCACTGTAGCATAAAGTCAAAATCTTATTGTAGTCCAGCATGTATAGGGGTTGAGTAGGCTATGCAGTATTATTCGCGATTAGAAAAATCATGGCCTCCAGTACATTGGAAACAGCAAGAGTCGCTTACCACACCCTCTTCGAGAGTAACATGAAGTATGGCATAGCCCTGTGGGGAGAATTATTCTACGCTAATCTGGAAAGAGTCCTACTACTCCAGAAGAGAGCCATACGAACAATGGCAAGGTTGGGTTGGCGAGATAGCTGCAGAATGACCTTCAGAGATTGGGGAATACTCAATGTTGTAGCCGTATACATCTTTGAAGCTGTGGACTTGGCATGCTCTAGAAGCCTCAAAATAAATGGCCATCTTCACTCCTACAACACCAGACATGCTGGAGACTTCAACCTGCCCCTTCATCATCTGAAAATCAACGTTTTCGAGCCGCGTTTTGAAATCGTTAATATTGTATAACTCAAAAGCTATTCCACTTAGAGAGTTCAAACTTGTGGCATTCTTTTTCATTTTAAATGCCCTTTATTTTGATATGTCACATGCCTATGTTGAACAAATGTCAAAAATTTTGAAAAAAAATTAAAAAAACGTTTTTTGATTTTTCCAAAATACGTCCCCTTGAATTTTTTCATAAAAAAGTATGTGATTTTTACCTTAACTGACTACATGTACTGAAAATTTCAGAATGGGATACAAATGGGTTCTTATTAAAAAAAAATATTTTGTCATAATATACATCTACACATGACAATGGGGCCATTTTATGTTACAGCGTGGTATGGGGATTATGCACGGTTGTGTTAATATCCTAAACAGATAAGATAAGTGTTGTAATGCATCTGTTGTTATTGTAAACCCAGTTTTAATAAGAATAGTAGTAAAATAATAAGTTGGTATGTTTTATTAGTGTATTTCTTAATCCATTGAACCAGTAGAAGTAAAGGTAGCCTAAATCTTCAATTCAAACTGCTTATATATTTCTCCATAGCGAGAGGCTTCATCTCATCGGTACTTAAGGCATATGTTCTTCCCGTTGCTGTTGATGGATCCACTTTTTGAAGTAGGGCTTCTCCAGGCATCCCCAATACATCTCTTGGTTGTGGATAGAAGAAACTACGGGCTGGTCCCTTAGGGTGTATTGTTTATTTTTTCTTCTAAACAAGCAAGCCACTAAGAGTTATCGTATGCCAGTTCATTCTCACTTTTATCACACACAGTTTATGACACTATATTCTTCAAAGCAGTCAGTGTTAGTTGGTACGAATCAAAGAAATATTCAGGCACATCCCTACTATTGCTTTAGAAAGTGGGTTACTGTTGATAGATGCTTGATGGAAACTGTAGTAAAAAACACAGATGATTTTATTGATGATTTTTTAGAAACATTATTAAAACTTAAAACTTAAAACCCATTCATTTTTAGCAATTCTGCAAAAATAATACTGTACTTCTTCAATAAAATTAAGGAGACCCACTTTAACATGTTTTTACCGTCTTGTAAGTCAACAGTATAAGTGTAAATATATTATTGCAAGTGTTATTAGACGTATATATTTCTGTATTTTTCAGATGAAAAATGTTCATAGTAACTCTTAAGATAACTTGGTAGGTGTATTTGTCTATCAACTAAATAAAGTATTTACAGATCATGAATAACATGGAGGAATCTTCAAGCAAAGCAATTAATTTTTCTTGCTCTTGTAGTAACTTAGGCCCTAAGTTTGGCCTCGCTTTTGTAGTAAGATTACTATGTTAAAACAGTCTGATTTAATAATTTTAATATTGTTAACCGAGTTTAAAATTACTACGTTCAAGTTCGGCTAAGATATTAATAGCCTATTATAAATAAATAAAAATGTCTTTATTAAGCGTTTCTCTGGTACACCAGCTTTTCAGAACCTCTTTCGTCACTATGCCAAATATCTTATTCTACTATTTGGCCTTTATACACTTATACAATAATTACACATTTTTTTAAAAACATAGGCTATCCATAAGTTTTTCTTTAAATGTTTTGTTAGATGCAACAACCTTCAGGCCGTCGGGTAGACTATTGTAAAAAGAGGGACCAAAATATGAGAAGCTCTTCCTCCCAAGCTCTAGAGAAACTCTTGGGAGGTGAAGCCTCCCAGTGGCGGCTCAGGGGGGTCCGGGGTAATGTTTTAATTTTACATTTTTAAAGCCGTTTGGCGACTTTCTAAAGCAATTTTAACGCCTAAAACTGTGTCCAATAATAGTCCAAAAACTCCCATTTCACCTGTTGTTTGTCATGCATGAGCAAATAGACATAAGTAGAGTAAAGTAAAGTATATTTTTTAAATAGTTTTTACCAATTTATTTAATAGATCAGATTTATTCTAATAGAACTAGGCCTATATTAAATATGAATAGATATTGCAAAACATAACAATTAATCCTCTATTGTGGTTTCTATTTCATAATTTAACTTTTTAAACCTAGTTTTAATTTGTACTGCTCAATTTCGGAATTTTGGGGGAGGGGTTTGACCCTCTAACCCCCCTCCCTGCCTACGGCCTTGTAAAACGGGGCTACACAGTTATTGAAAATATAACTAACAATTGATAATTTAATAGTAAAAAATCCACGGCAATAATGAGTAGATAACCAAACGGTAAGGCCTGACAATGATTGAATTGTATAATTTAAACACCCACGGCAATAACGAATAGAAAACC